TGAGCTATATTTTATAAGTTTATTTAATATGTACAATGTAAAGAAGGTAACAGAAGTTGGAGTATCTGAGTGTTCTGTTATTTGCCTGAATGTTACCAAACCTCATTTTTACGTACTTGTAACTTGCTATTACAAAATATTAAAATGGCATTTTGTTCACCCTGGAATGTGGCTTTTGCTTTTTTAGAAAGAAAAGCAGCCCTCTCACCACTGCATTGAAGCGAGTGCACCCATACCAATGGGAGTTCAGAGCATAAAACTCATCAGTTGTGTAATAATCCTTACAAGATGTATAGTATGGAGAATTTCCTCACGAGTGCTGTCTTCCATCCTATGGGTTGGACTCTTGTTCTTTTGCAGAAGTGATGAGGGACAACACAGTCTGAACAATCAGAAACAGAGAAAGAAAAGGGCACCTGTCCTATCCCTTTCTGTTGGGAGTTTTTGTTGTTTGCCTTTGAACCACACATCAGTTACTTATCATCCTTTTCCACTGCTGCTCCTGTTTTCCAAGTTGCCAGCTTCTCTCAAAAGCCCTGTAATTTCTAGTGCCTTTCTTAAATCTTCATCTCCTGGAGCCATTTCAGCTGTGACATTTTAAAAATTTAAGCTTAGCTTTCATGCCTGCAGAGGCTGTGTCAGAGACAACTGAAGACAAATTGAAAAGCAAGGACTTCTTGACAGCGGGTGGGGTCACTTCTTTCAGCGAGCTGGAAGGCATGAGTTGGATCAAGAATGATTTTTAGATTACTTTCTTGTGGGAGTGAGGTTTATACAGTCGTGTCGTGTAGGTACAGGTATATTTGGGGTGTGTCCATCGGTTAATAACGTTTTAACCTAGTGTCTTACTCCAGACAGGATTAAAGCTGTCAGAATAGTTTAGTTTCATGAAAATAAATTGTGGAGCAGGGAGGATGTGTCATGTAGTCCCTGAATGATGGAAAGGCTGCAGCAGGAGCTTTTTAGCATCCACTGTCTAAAGAGACACCTTAAGTGCATCTCAACTTTGGAAGAGATTTAAGTTCAAGCTTGTACCTTAGACCCTAAAGTTAACAAACCACGAGGCACAGATGTGTGGGGAACCAGGCTTTTTTCATTCTGGTCACACGCTTTAAGATCAAGGGAGTTAAAACATCTATTGAGATCACAAAATGTGTAAGAGGCTGAGGAGAGTAAAGGATGGAGTAACTTGTAACTACAAAGGAGACCAGAAGATGGGATTACTGGGGTGAGGGGGAAACAGAGCAGATGAGGAATTCCTACACCTGTTGTGTGTGAGGGGGGAGCTGGGGAAGAGAAAGTGGCAGCAAGGGAAGGAAAAGCAATGGGAAGCAGGAGGAGAAAAGAAAATTCTAGTTAGGAAAGGCATAGAAAAAGGCTTTAAAGATCACTGGGAGAAGAGATGAAACAGAAACTAAATTAGTTTGAATTTAATTTGTACATTCTCAAAAGAAATCAGTGAACTCTTATCTAAAGAAGTGCAGGCAAAGCAGAAGAGAACAAAGGGGTTGCAGGGAGAATCAAATTTGAAGAAGAGGCAGGTCTGGGCATGGGAGCCAGTTAATTTTAAGCACTGTTTAGTGAATGTGTCACTCATGAATGTGTCAGGGATAATGGGAGCTGAAATTTGCGGCAGAAGATGCCAACCTGGCCACAGGAACTCTATTAGAGGTGTTGTTACACGGCACAAGAGCGGAAACAGAGAAAGAAAGAGGCTCTTGTGAATGAGACAAACTAAGAGTTGGTTGGTTTGGGTTTTTTTTAATCTTGTTTATATAAACCATTCCCATTAACTTTGAGCCCTGATTCAGCCATCTGAGCACTCTGGATTAGCACAGTTCATTTCCATTCCCACTCTCTCTGTACAGTTCCCTCTCTGTTGACAAGCCTGATGTCTGCGTGGTTCTGACTGTACGGGGGGGAAAATGGCTGGAAAAGGAACTCGTGTAAAGGCTCCAGTCGGTCTGAGGATGGAGCAACTGTTTTGTCAGTGGACAAATGGTGGCAGTGCGAACAGAGTGACCAGATTCCTGAAGCCAACTGTGTTGGCTTGAGCAGGGTCTTGACACAGCAGTAATGTGCACAGCACTGAGGGCAGACCTGGCTTACAGGAACATTTAAGTAACTGTTTCTATTGCCAAACTATTACCCAGATTTTTAAAAAGTGGTCTGGCCCAGGAAAGTGTTATATATTTTTAAAAAAACCCAAAACAGGTCACTTGCTACTGTAAAACCATCAGGAAGAGTGGCATTAACCATGAAAAAAGGTAGGGTACTCCCAGTTTACTGGCTACAGGATCAAGTAGATTCCCAGCTGCTGTTCTGCAGAAGGGCTACAAAACCTGAAACTAAGCCTGCTTTGGTTTTAAACTGAGCTTCCTAAGATGAGATTTGGTCTGTATGTGTCGGCTTCTTTGTCCCCTTGACAACCTCTGCCCTCAAGGACAGCAAGGGGTTGTGGAGATGATCTTTTAGAAGTCTTGGGAGTGAGGAACAAGGTGGAGACAACAGATCACCTATGACACCACTGAAAGGCATCCAAGCCCTTTTGCACAGCAGAGAAACTTTTTAAATATCCCAACAGCAGAATGGCCAAGCCACAGGGCACCTGTCTGAAACCACATTCCTGCTGCTCTTGCTGCCCCTTCCTTAGGAACAGCTTGGGGTAAAGGGGGAATGTTGAACAGTGGTAACTCATGAGGGATGGAGCTGTGACAGCGGTGGTTTCTTCCAAGTGGATTTTCGGTACAAGAAAAGTAATGTGTGCCCTGCAGCTTTATTGGGGAGCATAGCAGGACCTGACCAGGACCTGCTCCACGGAGAGGACCTGATCCGTGGGCAGGATACGGAGCAGGATCCTGAGGGATAGTACAGGGTCCGCCCTCACTCGGACCGCGCAGTTTGGGGGGTGTTTGGAGGAGCAGGGGGGCGCGGGTTCGGGGCTGGAAGGGTCCCAAGGCTCTGCCGGGCACTTTCACCCCACACCCGGCAGACGAGAACCTCCCCCCGACTTTCTGGGACGGCCTTTGCGGAGCCCCCACCGCGGCGGCTCCCGCACACTCGGCACTTCCTCGGGGCCGATAGTCCCGGGGGACCCCCACAAAGGCGGGGGGACCCCCGCACGGAGGCGGAGGGACCCCCCCACGAAGGCGGGGGGACCCGCAGTCCCAACCAGGGAGGCAAGGCTCCCCACAAGGCGCGGTGACCAGCAGCTCCAACCAGCGAGGCAAGGGTCCCCTACAAGGCGGGGTGACCCGCAGGGAGGCAGGGGACTCTGCCGAGCCCGGGGAGCCGCGCCATGAGGCGATCCGAGGGCGAGTACAGGGCAGACGCGGCAGGACCCCACCATGGCGGCCGCCGCCTCTCCCTCATGGCGGAGCCACTTGGTACCTCCCTCCTCCCCCCCCCCGCCGCCAGCAATGGTTTCACCCCCTCCCCGCCTCACACAGGGGAGAGGAGGGGGTGTGGCTCCGGCTTAACCCCGCCCCCTCATTAATATTCACGACCGCTAACCAACGCGGAGTGGGCGGTACGCCCGAGCCCCCTCCCTTTCCCCCCCCGCGCTCATGAATATGCATGAGGGCGCGGCGCGTCGTCGCGGGGCGGCGCGGGCGGCGATTGGGCGGGAGCGGCGGCGCGCGGTGACGCGCGCGGCGGCGGTGCGGGTCCCGATTGCTGCAGCCGCTTGTCAGTGTGACGAAGATTGGCACCCGAGGTAGGCGCTGTCACTCAAACCCCGCTCCAGCCCCGCCGTCCATCACGGCGCGCCCGCCGCCGCGCCCGCCGCACGGGCAGCCGCCAGAGCGGCTTCCCCGGAGGGGTGGAAAAAAAAAGCGGGGAGGGGGGGGGGCGGGCGCGGGGAGGAGGGGAGGGCGCGGGAGCGCGCGCGGGTCCGCGCGGAGGAGGAGGAAGAGCAGGAGGAGGAGGAGGAGGAGGAGAGGGGGCGATGGGATGGGGGGGTGAGGAGGGAGGAGGAGGAGGAGGAGGCGACGTGATGCTTAAAGGGGCAGCGCCGTGTTGGCCGCTCCTTGGAGGGGCTGGAGGGGGGGTGGCGGTGGGAACGGGGGGCGCTCCGTGGTCCTCATCACCGCCACCGCCCCGGGCCCCACCGGGCCGGACCGGGGGCTCCGACCGCGGCAGCTGCTTCCTTCCTTCCCTCCTCCCTCTCTTTCTCCCTCCCTCCTTCTCTTCCTCCTTCCCTCTCTCCTCCTCTCCCTCTCTCTCCATCCCTCCCTCCCTCCGCACCTGCGCTGCCTCGGGAGGAGGATGAAGGGGATGCAGGAGGTGCCCCCAGCCCCCGATTTTGGGGATGCTCCGCCCCGCCCGCGTTTCATAGAAAGCGGAGCCTGCTCGTGGCGGTGTTGGTTTCTCCCCCTGTTTTTATCCCGTTTTCGGTGTGACCCCGCTGTCTCCCGGCTCGGTTATGGGCAAACAGCCCCTTGACACCCGGGCGGGGGTTCCCGAGTGTTTACGCGGCCGCGATTAGGAGCTGAGATTTGACACTGCCCAGAGGCCCCGGGTTGTGATGTGTGTAAACAACAATAAATCAAGCGCTGGTTTTGTCCTGAAGTATCGCCTCAATTAGCCACATGTCCCGGGTCTCCATGGAGTAGTCCATGGCTTTCCCTCATTCCCGCCACGGCAGTCTGTCAATTAACAATATAACAATATAAGTACTTTACACATCTGTGTGATAATTCTCTGTGTAGCTTATTGTTGTGGGTTTTTTAAAAATTTACTAAATATTTTCTTTTTTTCTTAAATGGTGACATGTAGTGTAATTTTAGAGACACAGTCACAGTATTTTTATTTTTTTTTTAAATAGTTTTATGTCCCTTTTTGCAGTTATGTCTAAGTAAATGATGAGTATGATTTTGGGAGGGAGAATCCCAGAATGGCTTGAGTTGGAAGGGACCTTAAAGATCATCCAGTTCCAACCCCTTACCGTGGACACCTTCCACTAGACCAGGTTCCTCTAAGCCCCCGTCCATCCCAACACTTCCAGGGATGGGGCATCCACAACTTCTCTTGGCAACCTCTGCCAGTGCCTCACCATCCTCACAGTAAACAATTTCATGCTAATATGAGACTCTAGATCTGGTATGACACTCTTAAAAATTTTTTTGTGCCTTGCAATGAATTACATTTTTAAATTTATTATTTTTTTTTTCACATGCACTTACAAGCAGCCCAGGCAAGACTCATTTTTGTCCTTACCCCTCTTTGGAATATGATTTTTGCATTCCATTAAACACATCTCAGGAATAGGGAGCACGGACAATATGTCCTGGATGTTGGAAAACACTTGGGCCAGGATCCTGTGGAGAATAGCAGGAGGGTGTACATAATTTTCAACGTATGCTAAATGTCTCATTTAATTGCTTTTTGTTTTTTAAAGCCAACAGTTTCTTTCTTAGTTTTTACAAAAAAAACATGCACAAAGTTTCTGATTTTATTCTTGAGCATGCTGTGCACAAAGTTTCACCAGTGTAGATTGTTTGATGAGGGAAATTGTAACAACTGAAGCTTAAGAGATCCACACATCTTGCTGTTCTCTGTGCTGTGGATACACTCACACGTTGTTCCCTTTCCTCTGTGGGATATAAGCTGTTTATGTTCTGCCTGTGCTTATGGGGTTATATCCCTTTAGTTACATGTGTGGTTAAAGTGAGATGGCTTCTGCAGCTGGATGGAGTCCTGGTTAGTCCCTGTCAGTGCACCTGTGAATTTTATGGATTACACTGAACAAGGAAACAAATTGTTGTGATTGTATCAGAAATCCTTCCATGTACTTCCAGACCGTGTCATTGCTACAGTATCAAGCAACAGCAAATGCATTTGAAGTGCTTTTTCCATCAGATAAAATTGCAGAGTTACCCTTTTCTGAGGATAACTCATAGAATCATTACATTCAAGTTTTCATAAGTTTCTGAGGACAAAGCCCCCGAAATATTTCACATATTCAAAATAAGGAATTCTGATGGTGTTCTTCATGTATGTTCTATCTTCAGTTTACTTTACAAACCGTACGGTATATTTTTAGTGTTGACTGTTACCCCTTGACATATTTTCTTGCCATCTTATGATTAAAGTATCCCCAGGAAAACTTCAGTGTAGGTTTCACTGTGTCTTAACATAATCTCCCGTTAAGTGGTGAGAGGCTGAGCCCAGTGTGCTTCAGTCACAGGGAAGTGTAGGGGCTGTTGGCACTGCACTGAGATTTTGGAGACTCATATCATTTCTCATGGGTTTGGGCCATGCTTTTTTTTTTTTTTCTTAATCTGTGCTTGAGTATCCTCTACATAAATTCAGTATTAATACCTGTCTCATATAAGAAGTGGGTCCTATTATCATGTAGTTAATGTGCTTTGCTGGACTGAAATTTTTCTTGTTACTGTGTTTCCTATGTGCTGGTAGGAAAACTGAGGATTCTTCAAATTTTTTGTATGTTGTTGTTGGAGTTGGTTGGTATTTTATTTTGTGTTTGGAAATTCCACTTTGGCATGTAAAAAGTCAGTCTGATATTAAGTAATTTACAGCCTTGATTTGTACTCTTAATCTCAATACAATTCTAAATATTTGGGTTATGTGAAAATGACATTTTAAAACTGAGTCCTTGCAGTCTTCCATTAGTGGGACTGAAAGGAGTTTAGAATGAATGAAATACACGTTTAAATTTATTTTACATACTTTGTTCTCATAAAATAGATATGTCTTCTAGAAACTGTACTTTCTCCTTCAGAATTTTGCTTTCCTACTATAATTCTCTGATACCTTTCCCTAAGTGCTGTAAATGCAATACTCTAATAAAGCCCTGATAATTCTGATTGCTACCGCAGCAAGTTTGGAAGTGTTTAGGGGCAGTTCAATTTCCTGGAAAGGAGTAACTCTTTGGTGTTATTAAGCTCTGTGTTAGTGGCCAAGGCTGAATGATCCGCAGAACCACTGCTGTGGTAGTGGAACTGCCTGTTCTAATGGCCCTGTTAATGTCCTGAATGAAACAACTCAAATTGTATTTCAGAATATTATGTTGTGGTCTGGGAGCCAAATGTTGCCTCTGCAAAACTGGCACATATGTGAAAGCTTACAGTAAAGCAGATTAATATTTTTATTTTGGTGTAAGTAAGACTGAATTCATTTTTTTGTGTGTGTTAAGTTTAAAATTCTACAAATGTTACTTCTCTTGCAGCAGCAGCTGGTTGCTTTAGTCTCACTTGTTAAAAGAGTCTGTAGGTTTAAAAATGAGAATTCTCTGGGGGGGGTTATTTTACCACAGCTCAGTGCTGTACAAAATGTAAAGCAACTTACTGCTCTTCCAAGCAAGAGGATTCCAAGAGCAAGGAGAAAAAGCTGCTGATAGAGTTCTTTCATTTGCTTACTTGGTGCCAGATGTTACTGAAATATTTTACCCAGACCATTATAGATCTCCCCAAGGTAACTGAGTGCTGAAATATTCACTCTTGTAGCAGGTTCTTCACTTTGTTCACTGAGGTTGTTTCATGCCAGAACTGTGGGACACGGGATTCACCAAGTGGAACTGGGGGTGGGATAGGAAATAAAATAGTGGCACCGCGGATCTGGAGACGCAAATTTTGTTGTTATGGAGCAGTGCCACGTTTTTATGAAGTTGGTGAGGAGCAGCAGCATGGGGATACCACATCATGTGTGTCACTGAAAGGGAAAAGTCGGTGTTAGAAGTGGAAATAAAGCTTAGCTCTTCTTGTCATCACATGGTTGGTTATTGTCCTTCATAGGAACACACTGTTCGGGTTTTAATATGGCAGCTGCTCCAGGCCATGGTGTTCCCATTGTTTTCTACAGAGGTGTATAAAAGGTATTTGCTGTTAAACCTGAAGGCCATTCAAGTAAACAGAGAGTCAGAAGGTGATATTCAAAAATGGGAGCTGACTGTGATAATCACAGACTGTCCCTTGGCCCAGCCATGCCCAGGGGGCTGCGACTGTCTCTTCTGCAGCTCGCAGGAAATTCAGGCAAAAAGTAGGACAATATGGCAGATTACTGCTGGTGTAATAAAAGAGGGATCCATTTTTTAAAACTAACACATTCCAATTTATATTTTATTGGTGAGCTTTTGGAATTGCCTGTGGTTTTTTCTTGAGGACTGAAGAAGCTAGGAAATGTGGCTCTACTTCACATCCTGCTTGGCTTTTTTCAAATCACATAGCAAACAAAACAAAGGGAAAAGGATATTAGCATGCTTACTGAGAAATAAAGTCCAAGCCTTTTATATTCAAAGGAAACAGAGGCAATTACAGAACAAAAATTGGAGCTTTTTACACGTCTAACATGCCTGGAGAACAGGGGAATGAAAATGTGAGTGCTCTGTTGCGTGTTCTTTGTAACTAAAGAACTTGAACTTCCAGGTCAGTCTATTATCACCTAATTTACGTGTTCTAACCCATTTTTGTGTATTCTAGGCCATGATAGTAGCAATACTAAAAGTAAGATTACTTGGTTATTTTTTTATTGTTATTGTTATTTTGAGGTGTTGTTTTCAATGGCTTATTTCTTTGTCATACTGAAAATTGCCATAGTGAATATGTTTGAGCAGGGTTATTCCAGCAACTTTAAATGACTCAGCACCTTGAAAATTACTTTAAGAGAAAGTAAATATGTTAATTTAAAGGAAAGGGGGATGCTTCTTACTTAGGAGCATATCAACAGTTGAGTTCTGGAATTTTGCATTGGAGAGAGAGAAGGTCAGCATTCACATGGAGCATATGGCTGTTCCTTGAGAAACTTTGACAAATCATAAGCTCTTGGAAAACCTGGTTGATGTATGTTACTGGATAAATATTTATTAACTAAATTATCTGAATATTCCATGTAACATGAGTGTTTTCCTGTCTGTTGGTCCTTGCGTGTCCCCTGACTGCGCAGTCATCCTCTGGACCAAGTGGGTAACATGATGCGTCCCACAGCAGTAGGGGATGGATAAATTTAATCCTAAATAGTCTTTCTTTACCTGTGCTTCTCCCCCCAACCCCAGAACACTTAGGCAGCAGTCCTGCTCCTGGTGGGATGAGGACTGATGTTTGGGGAGAGGTGGGAAACAGAGTGGGGCAGGAAAGGAAGGATTTTTATTTAATCATCATTTTGAAAAGAAAATAATAGTTTATTTTAGGGCCTAAACTTAGTAGCAAAACAAAGCTGTTCAGGTTTTACCAAATGTTAGAGTCAAAACAGGGAAGGTTCTGGAAAAGTTAGCGGTGGATTGGAACTGGATTTGACAGAGGGTTGCTGGACTAGGATTTGGTGTGACTCAATTTATTCACTGGTCCAAGTCAGTGCTTGATTTATTAATGGGGTTGTTATTCCTGGAATCATAAAGGACATAAAAATGAAACAGTTGATAATGCAACATCTTGGTCTTGATGAAGTGTTTAAATGCCAAAAATGCATAGAGGGGATTTTCTTACCCATTCAATACTCAAAGTCCATTTTAAATGCAGTTATTATTTAAATAAAACTCCTCTTCATCCTTCAACTGTACTTCAATAGAGTTAGGAATTCAGTCTTTTACAGAACGAGTATTTGGAAACTTTTATGATTTTATAATAAAAATGTTGGAAAACACAACATATGTTTACGTAAACTGCTAACATTGTAAAGTATTCAATAGCAATAAAGGCAGTGAGACTGGTGGTTATTCTGTGTCTTCTTTATGAAACCACAAAGTATAAACACAAAACAAGATTAACTTCAGTCATAGTTTATTGGGTGCTGATGCAAATCACGATTAAAATAGGATTTCCTGTTGCTTTGACTTAATTTGTCTGGCAGGATATGGTTCTATGAGTGTCTCCAAAAGTATGGATACTTGTGTGGATATTCCAAAGGCTTCAACAGCAAAGGGATGAAATTGTGTCTAGTATATAAGCAACCCTGTTGTTTATCCATGTGTGGAATGCCAGGGAGATGTGGAGGGTGGAGTTCTCTCTTTTTTTCTTTTTTCTTTTTTTTTCCTTAATGGAATTGTGTTTGAAAAAGTAATTAAATATCATTAAGTAAGACAGTTGTACCAGGATCAGTTCCAGCTGTGAAACTGCTGATACACGTCCTCTGGTATGTGAGAGGTGTTCATAGTCTTTGTAGTGCCACCCTCTCTAGGCACTGTGTTCTTGATTTTTGTGTCCAAAATGTTATGACAGCACATTGGGTAAAAGCCAAGGGGGAAAAATTCCTTCTCTGTCATGTTACAAGAAATATGTGTGAGGATTCATGATGTGAGTGTGAGGATTCACACACTGGAACCATGAAAAGTCCTTTAGTTTGCAGTGTTAAGAAGACAGAAAGAAAGGAATCTTTGCTTACTATGTGAATATTGGTGATGGATGAGGGAGTGATGGGAAATATTTTTACTCCCTCATACCCTAATCCCTCAGGAGCCTTGGAGCAATTAAAGGAGGTTTCGTTTCCCCCAACTTTTGTTTTTCTCTTGCCAAAATTGCTGCTTAGTCCCCATAATTCCTTACTTTATGGAGCTAATAAAGCAGGGTCAAGTTACAGTGTGAATTGGGCAGGGGAAACTGAGATGGTGCAGGAAGTTTCTTGAATTTGAGAATCTTTTAATAGTCAGAAGAATGAGGTTTTTCATTTTGGAGGAGGTAGGAGAGCAACCGGAGGATTTCCTCCTGTAATGCCAAGAGCTACCTGGGGGCACGATACCTGGGATACTGAGGTGATGTTATTTTGTGACTGGATTGAGTAGGATTCCTCATCTTTCTTGTCCCTGTTGTTAAGAAGTGCTGTGGTAAATTGGTGATGACAGGAAGCAGGAACATAAACCATGATTATGCACCACTTCCCAAGAAATATGTCGGTGTGCACACAAAGGGTGTGTGCAGAATTAGGAGCTGGAGTTCCTCACAAGACCCAGATGTCCTTAATTTTACTTCTGTTGTTGTGCCTTGAGAAATTTATATGATCTATGCATCCTTAAGATCCATTTTATCAGTTAACTGCATGTGCAATTTTAGCTTATAAAGTGGCACATTTCATAATACTTTTTTTATTTTTGTATTTGGTCCCTGCAAGTAGGAGAATTTCCTGCTTTAAATATACCAAAAGCAGAGTTTACAAAAAGAGTGAATTGCTGAAGGAACACAAAAGTCTTTTAATGAGGTGGTTTGTTGTTTGTCACGCTGTGTGACGTTGTGTGGTGATGCTTGGAAGGTGGTCTGTGATATAAATATTTTGTGTGGCTTGCTAAGTTATGAAATGGGGGGATATGAAAAGAGGATGCTATGAAAGATTAATGAGACAACAGAGCAGTATGTATGATGTTGGAGAGATCTTACTGAATGAAATCAGTGCTATGTAGTGTGTATATTCAAAATCCTACATGCAAAGAAGGTTGATGGTAGCTTATAGTGTAACCTGTATCTCTGCAGAAATTCAAGTTTAGTTGTGGATTTTAATTTATTTTTAGTTTTCGGTTTCCTAAAGTATAATATGCATTCAGTTTTTTAATGTAATCTCATATTCATCAAGATTAACATACAAATAACTCTATTGCACCACCAAACAATAAAGGGAAAAAAGTGACACGAAGTAAATCTCATTTTACTGCAGCCAAAAAATTGGTTTTGTGGCTTTTTAGGGCTTGACTCCCAGGGCAATTGACAGCATAGCTGTTGTATAATAACTATGTAGCTGTATCTGTGTGATGGAACTCCCTCAGGCTGGTATTATGTTCCTGAACAGGAACATCATCTTTCTTAAAAGTATAATATTCTAAATAATGACTGTACTTTGTAAGTACATAAGACAGAGGAAATGGAAGCCACCTTGCTGCTGAATGAGGAGAACATTCTCACTGAGCACAGCTTTAATAAACTTGTCTGCATCAACTTCACATTGATTTGTTTGTCTTAATTTCACTGAATGACTCTTCGTGGGCAGGTTGATGGAGATCGATAGCTACTGCAGCAAAGGTGGAATGAATCCCAGGTGGAATGTTGTCATCTGTACTCTACTTACTGCTTCATTATTATTATTATTATTTGAATCTGTAAAAATACAAATGTATCTGGATCTTGACGTCTGCTAATATGTGTACGTGTGAATGTACACACGAGTCTTTGCTTCTTCCTGGCTGATGTGCAAAGTGAGAGAATGATGGAAGAGAGGGTTCTTTGATGATTGACTGGGCAAGTTCATATTTTGCTTTGTGGTAAAAACCTCAGTGGTGATTCCCTTTCTAAGAGACAAAGCAAGTTGCCCTTCGTTTTGGTTTCATAGTTAAGTATCTTTATTATGATAACATAACTTTAAAGCTCTTCAGCAAAAGGAATAGAAGGAAAACACAAATTGGCAAGAGCAATTCCAGTTTTAGGCTCCACAGTGCCTTGGTGTTGTCTCCATCCTTTCACAGGTGTATCTGCTCCCTGTTCTTGCCCCCACTGAGATATGCAAGAAGACATAACGTGCAAGCTCAGATCTCTCTTGTCTGGTATGTTTTAGGGTAGACAGTAGTTTTAAATGCTGTCAAGTGTCTCTTGGAAGAGGGCAAGATGACTGCAGTGTCCCCTGGCTCCTTCTCAGCCACACCTTTCCCCCTGCAGCATCTTTCACTGGGCCTGTGTTTCTTTAGCATCTCTTTCTTCCTGCCCTCTGTATCTCATAAGCTGTCTAGAAACTTGCCTATTTCCAGAGTTTCAGCTGAGGGCTTTGCAGGCAAGAGCTACTTCATACATTAAGTATTTTTGACTGACCAGAAGTAGCAGCAGTGGCACCACTGGTTCATTGCTGCAGTTGTTTCTGAATGTTTTTCAAATTTGCAGTAATTCTCCTTTATGCCTGAGATAAGGAATAGATATTTTATCTAATTATCCCAGTTTATCTGGCAGTGACCTACATTTTGAGGATAATATGAATAGTGAGAAGTCCTCTCTTTGAAAGTAGACCAGTACATTGAGGTGGGTGAAAATGAGTACCAAAATTATACAAAATATATGGTGTGTGAAGAAGGGAATAAGAGGGTTACAAACTGTCTTCTCAGAACAGAACTGAGAAGCTGCAAAAATGGGAGAAGCCCATTCTTTGACAGTTTAAGAAAAAGTGATAAGAACTTTTAATGTCTCATCTGCTCCTTGAGCCTTCAAGAGCAGGTGTATGTATCACTTTGGGCTGAAACTCCTTCTAGCTCAGTGTTTAATCTCTTACCAATGGCTGAAATTTATAATGCCTTAGAACCTCTCAGAGTGTCTTCCCTGCTCTGTTTAGAACAAAGTTTGATGAACCAGAGTTGGCATCTAGATTGTGTCTAGGCCCTTAGAATTTTGCTTTTCTATGAACTTGTCTAAAAACCAACGCATGCATAAATTTTGGTTCTCAAATCCAAATACCAACTTCCTCTCACTTTCAAAAATGTTGGAATTACTTTCGCTCCAGTTCTCATGCAGTTGTGGACTTTGTGAGAAACAGATAATCCGGTTCAAGATCTGAGCTGTGTGTTTTAGCCATCATATCATTTCAGGTGGCCTCTGTGCAACCTCGGTGCCTGGAACTTCCCCTGAGGTGGTTTTTTAGTGCTTTTCAGCAGTTGTGTTTTCTAAATATGTTTTCACAATCTTTGCTACATTGCTATCACAATCATTACTACTTTTTTAAAGTAGCTTCAATGTATCAAACAGGTGCTATTAAATACAACACAAGTAATTTTAAGTGGTAATTTTTTTAAAGCTTTTTAAAACTGCTAAATAATCCTGTAGCAGAACCTGTGTTCACAGAACACAGGAGCCTAACAATGGCCCACTCCTATCATCTGTAAGTTTTTATCATGTAGTAGATTACTTGATCATGCTTTGATTTTACCATGGAATGTGTTCAAATGATTATGAAGGAACTTTAAATGGGGGGGAAAAAGTCTTTCACCTCTCTTGGTTTCGTGCTTAATTTTCACAACACTGGTGAGTTATTCCTGTCTGCATTTTGTAGTTGTATTTTTGGGATGTACCTTGTCTAGTCTTAGCAGGCAGACACTGAGCCATAGAGTAAAATATGAAGGTTGAACAGTGAGAGAGTTATTGGTCCACATGGAGCCTTCTGTTACAGGTATCAGCAAACACAAAGGTAAATATGGAGAATGAATGTAATAAGATGAGGGACAGTGCAGATAATAGCATGGGATACGGGTGTGATTAGAGATTATTAACAATGCAAAAAAAAATTTGCAAAACATGCAAAAAAAATCCTGTCAGTTCATTTAAATTGGCGAGGGAACCACATAATAAACCAGAATTTTTTTTAAAATCACATTCAGTCTTAGAAAAGTGTGTTCTGTGTTGTTTTCTTCTTCTGATTATTTCTCTGTTGGTTTTTAGGTTTCTGCCCTCAACGTTGTACGTCAGGGGCATCTCTGCTGGAACAAGATCATGTCTTCTTCAACCCATTGAAGGAAAGGGGTGAGCAGCTTTCTCACAGACAATATTTTATCTCATTTAGAAAACAGTGTGCCCTGGAAGCAAATACCATCATGTATTGTGTTGAAAAGTGAAGCCAGTTCTAGATGCTTTTCATGTGTCAAACAGACTTGCTATTCTGATTTTTGTTTCTTTTTTAGCTCTGTATGTGAATGTAAGGATTTATGTTATATAGCAAGTGACAGGACTTAAGTTAAATAAGAATGAACAAAAGAGCCACGGTGAATCTGCCAGTCATCCAGTTCTCTCTGAAGGACTTCAAAGGAACATGTATGAGGGAAAATTAGAAGGAATGATTACTTGTTAACCAGTCTGGTGGGTAGTTTCTTCACATCCCTAAGAGGGTTAGTGGTTAGTTTATAGCCTGAAGCATAACTATTTATATCTCTTACAAACATCTGCTGTAGCTTGTATATGTTAAAAAACGATACCACTGAACTCCAACAGCTTCCTTGCACCTTATGTTAACGTTACTGGGTGGTCCCTTTGCTCTTAATTACAAAGGAGTAAGTAGAGCAAGTGAGGAGTGATGTATGTTAAGTGATCACTTTGTGTGCCTGTTTCAGCTCACCTTTAATCTCTTCTCCTTAGATATTCAGCTTGCATAGAGTCTCCACATTTCTAATTATGATTACTCCGTTTAGCTTCCTCCCTGCTTTACATTTTACTTCTAATTGCATTAAAGGCTTGCTTTTTCCCCCCTTTGCTTTGTAGAACACAATGCTTTTGTGAACTCCTTTCGCCACAGATATTGGTGGAGTCTCTGATTGCAGTTCACGCATCAGCTTCCAGTTACATGACCTGAAATGTTTCCTTGGGTTTTCCACACGCTTTGCTTTCAAAATAAATAGAATGGGAGTTAGTTCTGTTCTGTGTGAAGCAGACTGGCAGACTCACCCTCGGGTTGTTTTTTGGTATTTGTAACTCTCTGACTATAACACAAAGGCACAGCTTTCCTTCTACTCCCGATTCCTTTCACAAAGAATAATTGGCATTTTGAAAGCTAAGTTGTCCAGCAGTCGTGTGTTCTCAGGTTCACCTCAGATACCCAATACTATATGGCCTAAGGTACAGCTGTGCTGGTTAAAGACGGTCTTGCTGTGAGTTGAAAATCAACACACTTGAGCCAGAAATTACCACACGAGCAGGTCAGCCAAGAGCAAGGGTTGTGTGAGTGCACAGCAACGTGCCTGGGACAAAGTCAGCTGGTTTCCATCATAGCCACCTTTAACACAGGGCTGGACTGGCCTGCCTGACTCAATGTAAAAAAAGGATCAGAAACTGCTCACGTGCTCTGTGAGCTCAGTGGTGGAGCTGTGGAAGTAATTAGCTCTGGCAGGGTGGCACTGATAAACATCTGGGAGCGATACCAGCATCGCTGTCTGCAGAGTGAACATCTGCTGGGGCTGTGTCTGCTAACGAGAGCTGGGTGCTGCATCTGAAATTAGCTTATAAAAGCCAAATGTGTAAATACCTTTTCAGTCACTTTTCTTAAAGTTTAGCATAGTTTGTTTCTTACCACTTCTGGGTAATGAGGAGATGTTTCTTTTTAGTGAACCAAAGTAATTCCTCGGTTAATTGCCTCAATTTAAGTGTGTGATTAGCTCAATTTGTTCTTCTCGATTTGCTGTAGTTGTCTTCACTAAATCTCATCAGTTCCTATCTTGCCTAATAGCTTAATCTTTTTCTGCTGTAATTATAAGTCAGAGGGGAAACTCTTAAGGGAAATAAAGGATATTCCCATGTAGAATTCTTTCCAGTATTTCCCCTGGGACAAAATAGGGGAAAAGTCCTTCTAGATGAAATAATCTATGGATCTAGCTCAAAGCTGTGCACCTCCTTTCTTCTTTGGTGTGTCCTGAGGGCCTTCCAGATGTGGAACATCTCTCCCTTATGGAAATCTGGAAGGAAGGGTTGGTCCAGCTTGTCTTGTTCTCCAGAAATTCTTGCCATGCCCTATTGTCTTTACTGGTTTACATATCTTTGTTGCTTCCCTCTCCATGTAGTTCTTTCTGCCACCGGTATGATCTCACATCCTTGTGAGCTCTAAGACATTCTTCCTCTTCTACGACTGTTTCACCTTCTATTTCCTCATTTCTGACCAGGAACTTCATCCTTCTCCCACAGCCAAACAATCTATTTAACAGTGTTTTATGATGAACTTCTTCAGCTTTAGAACTATTAAACAGTGTTTACTCTTCCTTTGTTGACCATTTCAATTGTTCTAGTTTTATTTTGAGGGTGGTCTGGTCTGTACGGTGGATGTCACAGTCAGAAATCACGTGTGCCTTTTGAGGAGGAAGAAAAGCAGCATTTTCTATGTGCTTGTTCACTCTGTAAATACAGACACCTTGCCTTGGCTGTAAGCTGCCATCTACGAAATAAAATAAATGTTTAAGCTCTGCTTACAGGATGATGTTTTAGAATGTGTCCCCTCAAAGTATTTTGAAAGGTATCTCACTTTGCTGTTGTGGCAAATGCTGACTTAACTTCCAACACCAAATGATTCATAACTATAAACAAAATTTTAAAATCTGAAGTACTTCTTTCAGTGAGTGCATTTCTGTTGTTGCTTTTTTATTTTTAATTTTTGTGCGGAAATCAGTAATATTTTAGGAGTTTCAAAGAAAGAGATACTGATGTTTTGTAGACAGATATAATCTATTTTGTAAAGGAGGCTGTGTTTACATCATCCTGGTGAACTTCTCTGGTCTTTGAAGTTGTTTAAAAAGTTTTAAAATTGCAGCAACACTTAGGAATCGCACTTTGAGTAGAACTTGATGCAAAGTAAGGCTTGAAGTTTGTCCCGAGGAGTTTGGTTTGTCTCTGTGCTGAAACTGTTAACAGAGAAGGGAATCTTGAAATTTGTTCTGTGTTTCCAAAATGAAACACTTACTTGAGACTATTATAAACTGTAGGGGAAAATATCCAGAAATGTAAAAATTGCTCTTAAAAGTGGTCCTGTACCATAGTAGTGTGCAATGGTGAAGGAAAGATTTAAAAATAGTTGAAAAATTTGTGGGGATTGAACATATTACAAAGAAAAAAGTTCTATTCAGCTCTTAAACTGCTGAATGTTCTAAAACTTAGTTCTTCAATACTGGCATAAGTGAAGGAGAACAGAAAACCTGGACTTAATACCTGGATGTAATCTTTTTCAAGATATGAGCTCTGACTTCTTTTTTAATATGGATTTTTTTTTTTATAGTAGCTAAACATTAGGACTCCTACATGTCGAAAATTGAATTCTGTGGTAATAGTTAATGGTAATAGCTTAATGAGTTATGTGATTTCAGTTATAATGGCTGTAAATCTGACAAGAAAATGAACTGTAAATTAGTAATTTGATGGGTCCACTCTACCTGGTGGTGGTGCTTTGCTAGTTTATTTTTTTTTAATTACTGGGTGTCTGACTTAAAAATATTTAACTCGTCTGGGCACCAAACTCCAGCTAATGCCTAGAGGGAATAACATACATGTATTTACTTGTGTTGAAGTCCTATTTTAATTAATGTTTCCCAAAGTATCAGATGTCTCTGAAAACGAGATTTCAGAACTCCTGGGTCACTTCTGAAACTTTATAATCAAGTTGTTGAACCTTAAATTAGTTGGTTGGTAGATTCCTGATGTCAGAAGGGATTTGAGCCTTCAGTCTCTGAAAGTAGTTTCAGGCCCTAACTCTAGAATATGGGATTCATACTCATAAGTGAACAGGGTATTCCTTAACTGGTTTTGCATTTGGTTCATCAGTTTTAACTTATTATTCCAGCTACAGTGATACTCAGTGTGTTGTTAGCCTTTTCAAAACACAGAAACACGAATCTGCTGGTTTCTACATTTTATGTATTGCCTTAGAATGTTACTTAAGTAGTACAAAAATAAATGCTAAAGTTTACTTGAAGCTTGTGGATATAAAAGAACCTCAGCCTCTTATTAAAAATTTTACATTAAAATATAAAAAGATACATAGACATTTTTGCTAATAATACCTGTTACATTTTCCAACTGAATTTTTTCGTTGTTCAAATATGCATGTAGTTTTCATTGTCAATAAACTCAATGATTTCTTTGGGGAGAGATGTGCATAAATCTTATTTTTTTCCTTTATTTTTTCTTCTTGTCACTTTTTAGAGCTGGATTCTAAGTGGTCACTTTTGTAACTTTTTTTTTTTTCCTTCTAAAGAATATTTGTTCACACTTATGATGATTTGACATAATTAACGTTTTATTAACCATGATGGCAACACAGACATTAAGTATAGACAACTATCAAGATGGACAACAGGTAGGTGTGGTTCTTTTTCTCTATGAATTAAGTACAGTTAGCAAGAGGAAAAAAGTAGTGACTTTGTCCTTAATGGCTACTTTGGCATTGTTTAATTATCTGTTCTTATTTGTAAAGCAAGATCTTTAAAAAGTAGCAGCTTATCACTTTTATTCTTGGGTACTTATTAAAGGTTTAACTAATTTTTGCATGGTTTTACTTGACTTCTGGAAGAATGGTTAGGTAAGGGGTTTTACTCTGTATCTACACTGAATTATTTATGTGCTGTAATGATCCCATTTTTAGGAAAATCAAAGGAGTATCCATAATATTTTGTGTATATGTTACTTCAGTGTTCCTATGTCTGAAGTTACAACAGATAGAAGATATTTACACAGTCGCAGACTTGTTGGTCTTCAGCAACTGAAGGGAAAATTTAGTTATCTAGAATTATATGCTACTTTGACTGCATTTAAATTGGTGGAATTATGCTTCAGGTTGAAAACTGGTTATATACTTAAATTCATTTTAATGAGGTTATGGATTAGAATTGATAACTGAAAAGCTGCTTGGTCGGAGTCCAGTTTCTTATTTGAGTCAGCAAACAGCTGGAATAATGAAACATGCTCGGATATGTTGCTTTTTTGTACAACAGGCTGTATATTGCAACAATTTGAATAGCTGAATTCAAATACTGTTAGCTGGAGACAAGTCATGCCTAAAGGCCTGTACTCTGAAGATGCATTTTTAGGTTAGTCTGTATCAGCCCTAAGCAGTAGATACAAGTACTTCTGTCAGCAGATGGCAACAATGGGGAACAGTCAGAAGAAAAAGAAGAACTTTTCCCATCTTTTAGGAAATGTTGATCTGAACAGAGTCTGGGATTATTGGGGGTGTTTTTTGTTCTTCATTTCTTTCATTGCAGTTCTAATTTCTCTCTCTTCTCTCACCTGCTTTATATCTTTGGCTTTATTCCCCCACCAAGTAGATCCTGTGGCACATCACTGAAAGGAAAATCTAATTTTTTTTCTTAATAACAGATTGGGAGAGAGCTTTTTATGTCTTATTTGTTCTGTATTTCAAGCTCTCAGTGTCCAGGTAATTTGGGTGCCTGCTGTTTTTGTAGTTTGGAAATGGCCCACAGAAAATATCTTGCAGTTTTAAGTGAGCTATTTCCTCTTCACGGTGAGATAGAACCCCAGCTGAACATACTCTCTCCCTTCAAACTCTGCAGTTGTATGGCCAACATTTATAATCACTTGTCTTAGTCATCCCCTTTTAATGTGCTCCTCCTTCCTGTCATTAGCCAAGAAATGAGTCCATTAGTTGTATCTTTTTTTTTTTTTGCAAGCATTGTGGCTTAAAAGTCTTCTCTGGAGGGAGCTTTTTGCAAGTCAGGCTGCTCAGCTGGGTGGGAGATGCTGGATTTTCTCAGTTTCTGATTTTGCTGGGAGATGGCTTGGTCACCCTACAGGTGACAAAGCACAGAGCTTTCAGCTCTCCCAGACTTTCATGTTCAGAATAGCACCAATTCTTATGCTTTTTGTTGTGTGGAAATAAATTCTGCCAGAGTCAGGTTCTCCAATAGTTTGTGGAGGCCAGGCTGTCGTCTGAGAGGGTTCCTGTGAGTGATGGGATGATTTCATCCGATGGGAGGAGAGGGCAGAGCATTTCATTCTGTACAGTTGTCAGTTCTGGCTGCCTGGAGATGTCTGGAACAGTGTCCATCCTCCATCGAGATAAAGCTTGTTGGAGAAGTAGGAGAAAAGACTGCAGTGATTTCATACCTTTGTGCAGACTCTCAAAGGGCAGAAAACCAAGGAGTTTGGGTTGAGGGGTGGAAACTATGAATTTCACAGGTCAGGTTCCTTTAAGCCCTTTCAATCCAAAAGATATTTAGCTGGAGGTGATGGGAAAACCACTTTCAAAGCACCCCAAAGGTGTTCCCAGCCACCTGGTGCAATTCAGGAGATGCTCAGTTGAACCTGTGGCTCTGTGTTGCTTTTCTGGTGGTGGCACATTGTATGACTGTGTGTTAAATGGATGTGTAGAAGCAGTTACTGCTGTTTTTTCCTAAAATAATTGGTTGTTACAATAGATAAAATTGAGTGGTAAAGGTCAGGGGAGGTTGTGCTCCTGATAATTGAAAGATTTTGAAGGGACACAGAATATTTCAGTTCTTCTTGAGGAAATGTGCATTTTAATGGACAAGAAAAATTTGGAGATCCTCTTCTTCAGTATCCTGATACAAAGTACAGTAAGAAATAAAGAAAACTTCAGGGGAGAAACTTTTCTTTACATTGATTTCATCCCAGAGGATTTTTATGCAGACATCTCCATAAATTTTTTGGAGCAATGTCCTTTAGCCTGTTCCAAAAACAACCACTTCAGAGACAGAATGCTTTAACAATTTACTAATATCTGTCAATCCCATTTTAAAGCCAAATGCTGAAACTTGGAGTGACCTTTACCCATAAAAAAGTGTCAAGGATTAAAAGAGGGGTTTTGTTGCTGCTACTTTTTGTGTCACTGCCAAGTCATACCAACCTTCTGGCAATTTAGGAGCCCTTTGCTTTCCTCTTTTCCTCGAGAACAGTGCCCTTATTTTACGTCGAGCCTACAGATTTACTTGTAACTTACTCTTTCCCTACAGATGCAAGTGGTGACAGAGTTAAAAACTGAACAAGATCCCAACTGCTCTGAAACTGATGCAGAAGGGGTGAGTCCTGCCCCTGTAGAATCTCAAACTCCAATGGATGCAGACAAGCAGGCCATTTACAGGTAGTAATGGACTCGTGTTCTGTCTTTTGAAGGGTAAAGAATAGAGGATTTTTTAATTTTTTTTTAATAAATAATAATAATAAGTAGCTTAAAACCAGATGATCTCTTGGCTAACTGTCTCCGTGGTTTGCAAGGAAAGAAATGAGATCAAATTAGTTTCACTGTCAGTCATCAGCCAAGAAAACAACTTCCCTAGATAGCAGGATTCTTCAATTTCAGTAGTTTTAATGGATGTTCTAATGGATATTTAGCAAGCTACCTTAGACTGTTGAACTGTGGTCACTATTTATTATATTGTAGTTTTTATCTTTAATGCAAGTTTTTATTTTTATTGTAATTAGGTTGATCTTTGCTCATTTTTTTTTTTAGCAATAACAATCTCATGCCCAGCAATTAGCTCGAAAGGGATTAAATATTGATGTACAAACACACTAATTTGAGATTTTTTGGTGTTAAGTGCTGTGTTAAGCAGTTTGCTCAGTTTTGATGAGGTTAAATGTTGTTTCACTTTAACCATTTTATAAAGACAGAATTATTACTGGTTTTCAGGTTAAAAAAAAAGGGAAAAAATGAACAAAAAACTACCAAAAAAGCCAACCTGATGCAGAAAGACGTATTCACTCATTTACAGACTTGTGCTAACAAAATCATCTTCTCCTCAGAGCATGATTTCATAGGAGGCCTCTGAGTACAGCCTGAATACTATTCTCAATTTTTTAAAATTATTTTGTGATGTATAAGTGTGGCCCACGTTAAAGAATAGATGAATTTTATCAGAGTTCATTTAAATCTGCATTCATCCTGTTTGTAAATCCTAATTCTCATTTCTAGTGCACTGCATTAATGTATCTCTTGCTATTCAATTACAGTGAATTAAATACTATGTCAGAGCCTTTTCACTTTTGATTGCTCTCTTTATTTAAATATATACCTATTTTAGTGCTGTATTTGCCTTTACAGAGTGATAAATCAAAATGAAAATAAACTATCATATTTTGCTACTACCAGTGGTGTTAAATGCAGTCTCTTCCAAGGCTTGTCACACTTACATGAGTGACTGTGACTTTATCTGAGCTAGATGTCCTAATTTGCAGTGACATACACATAAGTGAAAATACTTATTCATGTGTTTAAACTTTTTTTTCTAGGCACCCGCTATTTCCCTTGTTAGCACTATTATTTGAAAAATGTGAACAATCTACACAAGGCTCAGAAGGCACAACTTCTGCTAGTTTTGATGTAGATATTGAAAACTTTGTAAGGAAGCAGGAGAAAGAAGGAAAACCTTTTTTCTGTGAAGACCCAGAAACCGATAATTTGGTAAGTACAAGCTGCTTGTTTTATTTCTGAAACAGTCACCACATTTGCACCTTCTTCCTAATTCCTGATCTCAACTGGTGCATATAGTTTCTCTTAACATTTTTCTTCCTGTGAGAGATTCTTATTTATGTTAATGCTGAGAAACATTTTTTTAAGTTTGTTCTGACCCCTTTTTTCCCCTCTTATCTGTAAATTTACATTGGGCCCTTCACAGTTGTTTCCTCTTCTCAGCTGGCTGAGATCAGTGTTTTGGAGACAAACAGAAACATCCTTGCCATAGCCAGGTTGACTACATATCAATTTTAGAGTGTATAGCATATATTTATAAAAACCATGTAATCAATGTAAATTTTTTCCAGCTGTTTTTTTAATCGGTGTTCATCTAATTAATGTGGGAGAAGAGCTCTTATAATATGAGCTTAGAAACTCTTTACGATATACAAATTATTTCTTACATGCTCTTGACTCCTTTAGGCTTTCTGGAAGTCCTTCTGTGATGGATCTGTGATTTCCCCTTTTTTGGATATACTTGCCTTCAGTATTTTAGTCAGAAATGAGAGTTAATTCTGTTCTGCATGAAGCAGGTCTGCTGACTTGCCAAGCCTCAGGTTATTTGCTTCATTTGTAACTCTCTGAATTCAACACAAATACACTGTTTTCCCTTACCTCTCTAATCCCAGTTTATTTTCAGAAGCACAGCTGAAATCTAGTAGGTGGAATGTAGTAGCTTTGGCTCAGTGGATGAGGAGAGAGCAGTGGATGTGGTTCATCTTGAATTTTGATGTCTCTTACAATGTTCTCATAGACAAACTGATAAAATATGGACTAGAAAAATGAGGAGTGAGATGGACTGAAAACTGGGTGAACCACTGGGCTCAAAGGATTGCAGTCAGCAGCATGAAAGCCAGTTGAGGGCAAATTATAAGTGATGTATTCCAGGGATTGATACTGGAACCAGAACTGTTTAATGTCTTCATTAATGGCCTGGATGATGGGGCAGAGTGTACCCTCAGCAAATTTGGAGATTTTGCAAAACTGGGAAGAGTGGCTGGTGCACAGATGGTTCTGCCACTGTCCAGAGGTACTTTGTTGGTTTTGGAGAAGTAGGCAAACAGGAATCTTATGGAGTTCCACAAAGGGAAATGCCATGTCCTGTACCTAGGGAGCAATAATTCCTCCCCCCCACCGGTACACCTTGGGGGCCAACCAGCTGGAAAGCAGCTTTATGGGAAACAATCTGACAGTCCTGGTGGACACCAAGCCAAGTGTGAGGCAGCAGTTCATCCTTACAGCAAAGAAATTCAACATACTTAGGCTGTGTTAGGAAGAGAATTGCCAGCAGGTCAAGGAACATGATCCTTTCCTTCTGCTTGGCACTGGTGGGACACATCTGGAGTTCTGGGTACAGTTGTGGGCTCCTCACCACTAGGCATGAATATATTGGAGTCAGTCCAGCAAAGGACCAAAAAGAAGATTAGAGGATGAAAACATCTCTCGTGAGCAACCTGGGGCTGTAGCAGTGAAGGTTTAGGGGGATAATATCAATGTACCTAAATACCTAATAGGGGAGTAAAGAAGACAGACCCTCTGACTCCTCTCAGTGGTGCCCAGGGAAAGGACAAGAGGAAATGGACATAAATTGAAACACAGGGAAGTTCCATTAAAACCTTTTTACTGCAAGGTGGATTGAATAGTACAGAGTGCCCAGGGAGGTTGTGAAGTCTCCATGTGGGGATCGTCAAAACTCAACGTGGCCCTGAGGAACCTGCCCTAGCTGACCTTGCTCTGAGTAGGGGTTTTGGATTTTACAATCTCCAGAGGTCCCTTCCAACCTCAGCTGTTCTGTGGTTTCTGTGAGCCTCCAAATATTGGTTTCCCAAAGATCTTGCATGCCTTGGCCTGTTTCCTGTGCTTTTGGTACACAAACGTTGTCTCAGATCTGTGTTACTTTGGTTGTAGATGGGTCTGCTGTGTTCAAACAGTCCTTCCTGTCAATTGTTTGTGGTTTGGTGGTGACAAAGTCTCTTGGTTTATGTGGTATTCACCTCTGTTGATGGGCTGCACAAATCTGGCTGATTTTGCTTTAGGTGGATGAGGAAGTATTTATGTCTTGGATCCTGTGGCTCCTGAGGTCAGTACTGTCTTGAACTGGAACCATGTTGCAAAATTAAAAATCTTTGGCATTGAACTCCTGTCCTGTGGTCGTATTGTTAGCTGTGACTTTCTGTTACTAGATGCCAAGTGAAATCTGAGTGCAGCTTGTCCTCTGCCTGTCCTGGAGGCTGGGAACTCTGAGCAGCTGACATTCTGTCAGGCTGATCATTTTGTCTGGGGCAATGAGCAGAAGAGTTTCTGTCAAGTAATGAACTGGCTAGTGTGGTTTTCAGTCCCTTCTTCAGCTTGAAATATTGCTGCTTGCACAGAGAATGCTGTAGATGGGCAGTTTTTTCTGCCTTGTGTCAAATAAATATATACATTTTTACACAGATTAAAAATCTCTTTTTTGTAGAGAGGGCCTCTATTTTGCACCTTTGTTACATCCTCTGTTCTTCTGTCCTTCCTTTTTTAACTCCCAATGTTAATTAAACTATTCACTTGAAAGGAGAAGCTGTTAGGGCTGTTAATTAGAACGAGCTAGAAGGGTGGAGCAGGTAGGCCAGACAACTGATTGCTCTCCACCTGTGCTCTTCTCTGGACCCAAGAGAGTCAAACAAATCAGATGTAAATGCTTGCAATCATTCAACTTGGAGCCAGAGCTAAACTGAGATAAATTGAGTATCACAGTACTCCAAGGAGCCGAATTCAAGTCCTGTCTGAAGAGTCACAGTGAGGAAATGGGCCACTAATTCAGCTGGTTTGCTTTGTTTTTTATTTTATTTCTTTTGGAGGTGGCGTGTAAAACTCAACTACACTTCACAGGTTTTGTGATGGAGCTTAAACTGATGGCTCCAAACCAGCAGAATATAATTTCATTCTCTGTACTGCCTGGCTAATTAACCAGGTAACAGAAATTATGAAGGGTCACAGATGGTGACTGTAGGGTCACTTACAGTCCTGGCGACGTTCCACATTGTGCTCTCACTTGCATATTCCAAAGGAAGAGTTTGGTTTTCATCCAAAGGAATTTTAATCTGGGTGGTGCAGGCATTGGATCAGTTTGACCATAAAGGAGGTTCATTAAGAACAGTGTGTGGTTGTTCCAGCTTGAGTAGCTCTAAAGATACAGTCTAGATTACCTTATTACTTGGGTATTATGGTTCCCATTCTGAATTAATTGGTGGTTTCCTGCATTAGTAGTATGAAGGATTTCAGCACTGGGAAATATCACTAGCATCCACCTGGAACTTAATTTTAAGGATACCCACATATTGTTAAGCCTGGCCTATAAACCAAGTTTCAGACTTTATTATCTAGATGGAGAGATTCTGTTCCTTCCAGTTAAACACTCAAACAGCATAAATTGATGATCTTGAAGCAGCAAGGCAAAGGGTTGTGGTCCATCCAGAAATAGTGTTACCAGGCCTTTTATTCTGCAGTGTCTTTCCCGAGTCTGATTTTGTCAGGCACATGGTCAAAGCAGGGTTTTTGCAGCGAAATGGATAAGAACATTTCTATAACTGTTGGCTTCTGGATGGGTCAGAACTTTGGTATTAGGATTCAGCATGTTTAAGAGAATGAGAATTTCTCAGAAGAAATTATAAGAATTTGAAAAGATGTGAAAAAAGTTACACTTCCTTGTGGAAGGTGTTTTTTAGGGTACTCCATGAAATGACATAGATTAACTTTATTTTTTATTTGGTTTATTGCTGTGTTCCTGTTTTTTTTCTCTATGTGCATTCTTGTAATAGAATTAGCCATGGTTTGTGTTCAAAACCTGCAGCACTAAAAAAAAAAACCACAAAACTGTGCTGTGGCTTCCCTGAAGTGTGAAGTTTCAGTTGTTGTCTCTTCCTGCATCTGAGAGGTGTCTAAGATGCCTCTTTTCTTTCCAAGGAAGAGCATATAGCAGGAAAATGCAAAGTTCAGTTCTGAGATCTGTTGAAAGAAAACTGAGAAGCTTTGTTCCTACTCCTGGACAGGTTTTATCAGCTTGCTCTGAGATGTAGGAAGTCTTGACGTTCTAGGTATGTGTGTATTTTTAATGCAGATCAGTTGTCTTTGGACTGGAACTCTCCCCTGAGTTCCAGTCCATCCCTAATAAATATACAGAGAAAGTGGCTTTTCTGTGGTAGCTACATTTGCTCCTCAAGAACTGTAGGCTGCAAACAGAACTTTTAAACTTTTCTGACTCCAGTGACTGACCACACAGGTTTAGATTATTTAGAGAGGTAAAAGGGAGCTACAAGTTTATGTTCTGGGTTTTTTTGCAGTAAGTATTTAGCTGTTATGGATGTGCATGGCACAGCATATTATTTGAACCAGAACTGTCCTCTATCTTGGAATGTCCTCTGCAGGTTTCTTCCAGTTTTCAATAATTTTGTTCTCTTTTCTGAGGCTTGGTCACTTGTAGTGTCTCTGTTGATGTTCTCTGAACTGGATGAAAGTGCTGATTAGCTGCAAGAAGTGCAGCTTAAGGGGGAACCTCATCAATAAGTGTCTGCAGGGAGGTGTCAGAGGATGGACCAGGCTCTGCTCGAGGGGGCCCAGCAAGACAAGAGGAAGAGGCAAGAACTGATGCCCAGGAAGTTCCACCTGGACATGAGGAAGAACTTCTTTGCTGTGCAGTGACCCAGCACTGAACAGAGACCAGAGAGGGTGTGGTTTCTCCCTCACTGGAGATATTCCAGAATCCTCTGGACACAATCCTGTGCCATGTGCTCTGGGGTGGCCCTGCTGGAGCAGAGAGGTTGGACCAGGTGACCCACTGTGGTCCTTTCCAGCCTGACCCATCCTGTGCTGCAGACCTCCCCTTTTCAAATCCCTGTGGAAATGAAGTGGAAGCTGAAGGCTGTGCTAATGTTCTTCTTACTAGACTGGAAGTGTGCTTTCTTTTCTAAGCTTTAACTACCTCCATCTGTTTTGGAATGTTATTTGCATCCACCTTAGTCCTTATATCAAGCATCAGTATCAGAAGACCTGAGTTTGCAGCAAAATCTGCTCTGTATCACTAGCCAGAGGCTCCCAAGTGCATGTGCTTCTTTCTGGAAACATGCTCAGCTTCCAACTCAGTGTCCTCATTACATGGAGTATCATCTGTTGGAGCTTCATACCCTTCAGCCCTTGCCTTTGCCATCTCTACCTCATTTTCACAGCTAAAACACATCTTGTAATCAGCCAATGCTCTAAACTGCTCTTTTTTTCTCCATTTGTATCCTTTTGTGCTTAGGACTTACACAGACAGGCTCCTCCATGTCTAAGAGGTTGTTCAGCGTGAGTGTTTGCAGATAATTTTTTAGAGCTTTCACAGATTACATGTTTTAAGACTTCCACTACTTAACACTGTTGGTTTTTTTTTTGCTTAGTATTAACCCAGATGCTGCATAAATATCATGTTGCCTCAGGGTGGTTCCTACCTCTTGTGTAGCTTCTGTTCAGAGTAAACTCTTCCCCTATATGGGTGACTTTTCAAATTACCCCACATTCCTAGGACCATAGGGTGGTTCAGGTTGGACTACAAGCTCAAGTGGTCTGTAGTCCAACCTCCTACACAAAGTAGGGTCAGCTCTTAAGTCAGAGCAGGTTACTTAAGGCTTTGTCAAGTCTAGAAACAATACAAAACAAGGAGTGTTAAATATGCTCTCACTTTTGTATTTGAACAGGACACTCACTGACTTTTTTGAAGACCCCCTCAAGTTTTTTGTTTCATTTGGGGTAAGGATTTTTGGTTCAGTACCCTCTTCTCAAAGACTGTCCTATTGAATTCTTAGTTGTGTCAGCATAAGTTGTAGTGGTGAAGCAAGCTGATGTAGTTTGAATATTCTTGACTGAACAAGTCACACTTTTGCATTTCTGACAAGTGTTCTTAGTATTTTAATGTGTAGAACCTAAACATCTAGTTATACCTTTCCTAGCTATGTCAAAATAGGGAAAAGAGGTTTTTCAAATCAAAACAAATGAAGACAAAATACCCCCCTCTCCCAGAGTTTGTGTTCTTCCCCTGAAGACCTAAATTACCCCAGGAGAATTTGGGTCAGGGAGGTAGCTGAGCTGTGAATGAATTTTATTGGTTTGGGTTTTTTTGCGAATGGAAAGAGTTATTTGAGTGAGAAGATTATGTGTCAGTATATGGAGATTCTCTCATGCATGTTGTGTGAAATTATAGTCCAGGTTTATTTCTACATCTGAAAAAACTGAATCAATTGGCACATAAAAATCCATTGTTCTGTGGCATATTCCATTCCAGGAGCACTTAAAACCAAAAACGTGGTGGTAGATTTTGAAGTTGTGTGTTTTAAGAACACAGGACTTAAATATTACTGCTGCCCTGGCCTGTCTGAAAACATTTCTTTGTACTGATTTTGTTCAACATGGGTGATTTTATCAGGAGTTCTTGAACTTCTGCTGACATGGAACTTTGGTCCACCCATGCTGCAAGAGAGCAGGAGCCATATGGCCACAATTAGTGTAGTTGTAAATTAATTAATAAATCTTGATGACAGGCATGGCACATTTACAAAGTTCTGCTTGCCTTCTAGCACAGCTTCCTGCAAGAGTGGTGTGGCAGTGTGTGGCTCTGGAGAAACCTGGATAGTGTTGCTGATTCTTGATTTATGGTTAATTCTGACTTTAATTCAGTTTTCACTTCAGGTATTGACCATCAATTTGAAACTAAATCTAAGCTGAAGAAAGGACTTTTATTTTTCCTCCAAACACATGCTGATAAATAAATAATACAAATATGGGTAATGTTTTAAGAAAAAAAAAACCCTCTTGACCGAGCCAAACTAATCCCTAATATAGTTAAATATTATGTGTCCAAAGGCATATTTTTATTACCTCAGTTTGAGCTTGAATGTTTAAAGCACTCACTGACATATGTGCAATGTGTTGATCTGCAACATACGAAGAATTTTCTGGTTTAAGCTTTTTTGTCTCTGGAACAGAGTATGTTTAGACATGGGTGACCTTTGTTTTGTGGTAAAAATCTAGTTAAATTTGCATGGTTTAACTTTGTTGTGTTTAAAGGTACTTAAACAGAGTTTAAACAGCAACCTGGGCTGGTTTAGAAGATCACTGTTTTATGCCTCAGTGCTGGGTCGTTGCACTTATTATTTCAAAGCTTTTGGTCCAAAGAGTTACCAGATACTAATTTGGATCCACTGCCTCACATCTACAGCTCATATTTTTCTGCAGCTGTGCTTTGAAATATACATGTAATTTTTTTTTCTTTTTAGCCCTGAGAAGAAATAAGATTTTCTTCCTTTTTTTTTTTTTAAAATCCTTTCATGTTTTTATCTCTTGTTTATTTTAACATAAAATTGTCTACTACCCTGGGTGAGTGTCCTACAACTTCTGCTGGAAAAACAGGGAGAAGATCTGTCACAGTGAAAGCTAAAGTGTCATGGTGGAGAGGGGAGAATACCCAGAAGTTTTCCTGCCTTGGTCTCCTCTAGGTGCTTTGAAAAAAGGCAGCTTCAGCTCCCATTTGGCTTCTTGAGTTAGAAGTAATAGGTGGATTAGTTCATAAGGCATCATTTCTGGCCATTGGATTCAGTGCTCTGGCCAGGGAAGTGACCCTTCATATAGGAGAAGTTTTTCCAAATAATTATAAAATCAAGCTCTGCACTTTGCCTCAAAATTATAATTACTCAGTTTCATAAAACCAAAGGGTATTTCTCTGGGAGATCTAACATAGCACATAAATGTTGGGGGTGGCATGCTGTGTAAAAAATAATTACTTTGCTAGTGTGTTGTGTACATATTTGAATGCCCTGGATTTCTTACTGCTTCATGAAAATTTAGACCATCTGGGTTTAGTTTTAGCTTTTGATCTTCTGCCATGACCCTTACAATCACCTAAGCTATTTTTATGCAGTATGTAATGCCACTGGTTATCCAGGCTTACAAGTCTTTTTCTTACAGTAAGCATGATAAGTATTCTCACCATGTACATATGTCCTGCACTTTGATTTTTGTTTAAACATGGATTTTTTAATTGGGTTTCATGCTTTTTATTTAATGATTTATATTTCAGAACCAGTCTCCTCACCTGAAAGTTCTTTACAAGGTTTTACCTGAGAGTTGTTCATCTTTGACATACAGTTGCAGAGGAACTTAAATAAAAGCTGTAGGACTGACAAACTCTTTGGTTACTTTAAGCTTTGTTGAACAAGGTGACAAAGCTTGGGACCTCTTTATTCTAATTTAATTGAAAGATAAAAGCTGTTGTGTTTTGGTTACAGGTGAGATGACAGGCTTTCACCCTCCCTAGCAGTCTGTGTGACAAATTTATGACTAAATCACAGGAGGGTTTTCTCAGTGTGTCTCAAAACTCATCTGTACACTTTTGGTTTCCTTGGGTCAGGTTGTAACGTGGAGCTGATATCTCTAAATTACAGAGCTCAAGAAAACTGCTGGTGGCCAAACCTGCTCCAACCTTGCTTTCCAAATAATATGTGTGGATGAGATTACTTTCCTTCACTTTCAGTCTTGTGTGGTTTATGACACAGAGTTGTTTGATGGGGTTAAAGATCACCCCCTGCCCTGCGACACCTTTACTGTGCTCTGTCTTCCTAATGTGTCACATGTGACAAAGATCATGTTGTCCTGTTCTGTTTCCCCTGGGTTGTAGTTTACTTATGTTCCTTTCACATTTCATGACTTAGCAATTAGCAATTCTGCTTTGATTGGGTGAACTTCGCTACTGGAAAGTAGAGTTTTGCTTAAATCTCACGTTAAATATTTTTTGAATTAACAGTTATTTTGTTTCTAACTTTCTTTCCCCCCCACTTCTCTCCCTTAGATGGTAAAAGCAATCCAAGTTCTTCGTATCCATCTGCTCGAGCTAGAAAAGGTTAATGAACTCTGCAAGGATTTCTGTAGTCGTTACATTGCCTGCCTGAAGACAAAAATGAACAGTGAAACTCTATTAAGTGGAGAGCCTGGAAGTCCTTATTCACCTGTGCAATCTCAGGTATGTTCCAAATACATCTAAGTGTGTTTTTGCTTAGATTTCCTTAGGAACTCACAGCTGCACTTCTCTTGCTATTAGTTTGCAAACAGAGTTTCTGCAATTTCCTGTACTTTCTCAAATCAGTTACTAAGAGTAGGAAGAGCTATTTTATTATTTTTTTGTGTGCACACCTATGTGCCACTGCCTGATGTTCAAATATGCCAGAACACGGACTCAATTTTTTATTGTCTGTCTTGCTTTTATGATTTTCCCTCAGTTCAGCAAGTGTAAATATTCAGAATAGCCTGGATTTGCTGTTTAGTTGGAAGGAGGGTAGGAAACAGAGTAAACAAAGGAGAACTAAAAAATTTCCTTGTTAAGAAGGTCTCTTTAGTTTGGTTTGCTTCCTTGAAATATTGAGGTGACTGATACAGTTTATACACAGTCTGTATTGTGGGACAAATAGACAATGTCTGATGGATTATAGTTGCAATATTTGAGATGTCTGTCATTGCATGTCACCTCAGGTAAATGTGTAATTATGGACAGGACCCATTTCTATACATATGAACCTCAGTTTATATATTGTTGACATTACTAAAGACAATGGCCAGTTGCATTTTTTGTAGTAAATTGGTGACAATTAACAATAGTTTGTATGTTATGGTTGATATTTTTGCTGTTAAATGCTGCAAAGTGAGCCCTGACACCCAAGTACCTGCAAGATACTGAGTCTTAAGGGGTGGCCCTTCTCTGAATTACTCATGTGTCTGATGATCTGTATTCAAAAAAGCCTCAATGACTTTTGAACTCCACTTTCTGCACTCCTTACTTAGGTTTCAGTGTCTGGAAGTGTGGAAAGGAGATTCTAAAATCAGATAAAAAGAACCCTTTTAAAGGTGTTTTTTGTATGTCTCCTGCATTTTGCATTTGCTATCAAAAGGAATTATTCATACATATTAAGGAATGCAGAAGAGTTTGCCTGGTCAGGGTTGAGTAAGAACTATATTGAGCAGAATAAAACATACTGGGCATCTTGAATACTTAATACATCATTTTGAAATTGATGGAATTAAGGTAATAACTAAAATTCTAAAGCTTTGATGCTTGTAATCAGAGCACCAAGGGTCATTTCATCTGTCCTTTTTCCCTGGTGTTTTTGGAGACTGTTTCTCTCGCTATATATACACCTAGAACTAGAATTTCTGAAGGTAGTTTTACATCTAACAGTTGCTTTCATGAGGGTTTTCAAAGGTAATGGTTGGTGATAATGAGGAAGTTAATATAGGTAATGATGAACCTCTAATGAAGTCTCTTTCTCTTTGAAAGTAATCCTGTGATTAAGCTCCAAATGTATTTTAGAACCAAAAATGCATAATACAAAATAAAAAAACACACAAGCATGATTTATCTCCTTACAAAAAAAAAAAAAGTTTAAAAAAATGCAAGCAACTAATTGTTTTATTTTTCTAGCAAATTCCAAGTGCCATTGCAGGCACACTCAGTCCCCAAGGGATTATGGTGCCAGCATCAGCATTGCAGCAGGGAAATGTAACTATGGCAACAGTAGCAGGTATGACAAAGTAAAAACAACTGGCACCTTGCTCTTCGTGTTGGTTTCTTTAATAGTTGTTACAAAAAATACACAAAGACTTTAAAAAATGTGTTTTAACTCTTAACACCTGAGAAGTTGTTGTAATACAGTCAAGTGCTTTAATGTTTTATGAAGGTTTAATTTTTTGTATACCAAGCATGACTATGTGAGTGGCAGTTACAGGTGTATAATATTAAGAGATCTTTCTGTACAACACTACAAAGACATTTTAGAGACTTTTTTTCCCTTTAAAAAAAAATTCTGTTTGACAAAAGCATGCATTACCTAAAACATTGCACTTGTTGGCTGCCTCATGCTCCCTGGAGTTGAGAACCACCCCTACAAGTCTGTGTCCTTGTTGTCCTGCTGTTGTAGAAATGACATTTTAACTGAAACACGTTATCTTCCTTCTAAGCAGGGTTTTAAAACAAACCCATCTGCCTGCCCTAACCACTGCACTCACATAGGTGTGGTTTTGGTGTTGAGACCCTTTTTGAAGACTTAGTTAAAACAAAAGGATTAACTTTTTTTTGTAGCCTGATAATCATGGCATTTTCCTTTGAAAATAGATCTAGGATGCCCAAAATATAGGGAAATAAAGTCAAATTTTGTACGGTCTTTTGTGGATGGAAGAAAGCGTTAGTGTAGCAAAGAGCACATCTTACATGGTTACTAGAAAAAAACATAGTAAATATATTATGAAAGCTCTTGTATTGTCTGCAGTGCTGATGTCTTTATGTATTTAAAGAGAATAATACTTGAAGGGTTTTTACTTACCTGTAATGTGTGTTGCTGTTTTGCTTTAAGGGGGGACAGTGTATCAGCCCGTCACTGTGGTCACTCCACAAGGCCAAGTGGTGACACAGGCACTGTCACCTGGGACTATCCGGATCCAGAACTCTCAGGTTTGTTTCATGGGCTTCACAGAATAGTTATTCGGGGTTCAGATAAATCTCAGTGGTTTTAAGAGGTTTGGTTTAAATTTGGCAGACTGTCAGAACGAGCTCTGTGTACACACACGTAGTAACTCATGTAAAATTAGTGCAAGCACTGCTGTAGGAGCTACAAGTTGTATAAAGTGGCATAATTTGGAGATCTCAGGCAGAGCTCCCTTGCCACATCATAGTTCCTACCTGTTAAATGTCTTCCTTTACTGATGGCAGAAGAGTATAGGCACATAAAAAAAAAAAGAACCAAAATTAAAAAATAAAACCCCCACCCCTAACCTCCTCCCCAAGGGAAAAAAAACCAACCCTCCAAAACAAAAACCCCTTTGAATTAAATAGACACTTTTTCAATTATTACAACTTTTCTAGTTGTTGAACGAGGTTTAGATAGATTTACTGTATTGCATTATGGTGCCACACTGCTGTTGCCAGAAATCTGACTTTTTCTCATGGTGGCAACCACTAGTACTGTGAAACTGTATGTACTTCAGAGTCTGTATATTTTGGGAAGCATTTTGCCATAAAACCTGCAAGATACTCAGTTGAGACTGTGGGAGATCCTCACATTTGGCTCAGTGTGTCATACCCTGAAAGATAAGGGCCAGCACTCTTTTGGGGGAGGCTCCTGAGAGTTGGATCTGGAGAGTTCAAAGGAACAACTGAGGAAAAGGAAACATGAAAACTAGACCATCTTTAGTTACAGAAAACCTTGATCGCTTTCTCTTGGAGCTGGAAGTGGTAAATCAAATTTTCCAGGAATCTGGAGTCAATTAAAAATGTGAATGAGGAGCTACCATCTGAATCTGTTGGTAATCACTGACTCACTGGCTTCTTTTCTTCCTTATTCTGACTTTCCAACCAAAAAAAGCGTGCACAGAGTGTTCTTTTAATTGGCAGGAGCATGTATGTACTTGCCTAGAACAAATACAGTTCTGTCTTCAGACACCTTGCAGAAAGAAATGTGTAAAATTACTCTCCTATACTGAAGTGTTTTTGAAGAAAAATGTTTTTTATACCTCTTATGGGAAAAAAAAAAAACCCTGAGTCGAAAATAATGCCTATAGTCTATAAACAAAAGAAGGACTTGACCTTCTATACACATCTGTGGCTACTCTTGATGTTAGTAGGAATCTCCAGACCCACCTGTGCATAGGTTTGGACCTGGATTCCTTGTCACCCATAGAAAATCCTTCTTCAGTTTCTTCTTTTTGAGTGTTTCAGAATGCTTTGGAGGTAGGGAAAACTACTGGTGGAGAGCTATTGAAAGTTCATTATAAAGCCTTCATATACAGGCAGATTATTTAGAATGTAAAGCATTGTTTTGGAAATAAAGGTATGCTCCAGATATGTATTTGTTGTAATTTGATAGTTTAAACCTTGTTCAAAACTAGTTTCATACAGGACGCAGACATAATGGTTGGCTTAAGAAATTGCTCCAGTTTGTCTGAGAAACCTGATTTAGAATGATTTCAATTATAATTGTCTGAAATAGAATCTTATATGCAATTTGTACAGTATTTCTTCTTACCTCTGTGTAAGCATTTAAGAATGTATTCCTAAATGTTCAGATAACCAGTGTGCAAATGATTTGATGTATCCATAGAAAGTGAAAAACAAAGAGGAAGAAATATGAACCTTTAGGAAGTAGTAAAAGTGTTGTGAAGTGAATTACATATTCTACCATATAGGTCTTCTTGCTCTTTGAGAATTTAGATGCATTTTTTAACAGGACCTTTATCATCATCGTGTGCAACTCTAGCATAATAATTAATTTTACTTTACCCTTTGTTTAATTCTCAAATCTGTAGTATTTTACGGCTTCCATAGTTGTTTATATTTGCACACAGTGAGTTTATTCAAAATATTCAAGCCTAATGTCTTTTTGTTCAATAAATGAGTTGTTCATTCATTGATACAGAACTATTACTGTGCTAACTGCCTTATTTCTTCCAAAATTATGTGTGCAGCTTCAGTTGCAATTAAACCAAGATCTAGGCATCTTGCATCAAGATGATGGCTCATCAAAAAATAAAAGAGGAGTTCTTCCCAAGCACGCTACAAATGTGATGAGATCTTGGCTTTTTCAGCACATAGGGGTAAGGACTGAGCATGGTCAAGAGTTACAGTTTTTTTATGTAACTCTTTTATGTGGTCTCTTACAACTTTGCTTCACAAAGAAGGTGAATTTATTCTCTTGTCCTTTATGTAATCTCAGTTCAGTTTTCCCTGAAGTCATTTGGAGTAGTTCCACAATCTAATGTCAGTTGATTTTATTATTATTTTAATAAGCGTGTTACGTTTGTACTTCGTGGTCTCAATAAACATGGTTAAAGGGAAGCTTTCTTCGTTTCACTGTGCTGAGTACTTAACACTCTCTACACCCTGGTTCATGGCACAAGGAAGAATAATTCCATCTGTGTTTTATGGTGTTTTGGGGGTATTTTTGATAGAGAAAAATTTCAAATTTTCTGACTTTATCTCCTTTCCAACAATCCTAATGTGTACCAAGTGTGTTACTATCTACTTGTGCTTTCAACTTACCTCAAAAGGCTAAATGGGTCTCAAGTTATATTTCAGTGTTTAGTTGATGGATATTTTGTGTTTTACAACTATTTCACAGCAGAAAACTGATACAGGGAAACCGCGTGTGCGCCTCTTGTGTTACATGCACTGACTTCATCTGTTTAGTTCAGAGCAGCTTTATTTAACTAGAAAGTGCTTGTCAGTGCTCTCATATGACATTGCCTTTAGACAGCATAACTAATCAGATGTTATCACATGCTGTGTTGCCCTGGGATCACGCTGTTTAATAAAGACTGTCGGCCATGAGAAGCTTTTTCTTCTGAATTACACATCAGTAGTTTAATGGTGTCATAGACACTTTCAAGGATAAAAATCAGTTCTGTGTGGTAAAGCACTCCTTGTTAAATTATTTATATCTATAAAAGTTTGTGAGGTTTCTAAAGTTCGTGTTTTAATGAGTCAGATGGTCTTAATCCAGCAGCTTTAATCTGTTTTAATAAAGGAATTCTTATTTTTGATGAGGAGCAGCTTTAATCAGTTGTAATAAAGGAGTCCTTATTTTTGATGAGGAGATGAAACAAGCTTATGCCTTTTTTTGTTTGCTTTTTTGGCCTCTTTAGCATCCATATCCAACAGAGGATGAGAAGAAGCAGATTGCAGCACAAACAAATCTGACACTACTCCAGGTTAACAACTGGTAAGAGCAAAACCCTTATTTAATATCTGTCATCGTCTCCACGTGCTTACAACATAGAAATACTTAAGAGTGTAAGTTGGATATCTGGAATTGAACTTGCTGTTCTACATATGCTACAAAATATGTATAGAAATACAGGAGTTGTACACTGATACACAAGCATGTCATTTTTATAAGGTATAATAACCCTCATGCCATTTAAATTATATAAGGACTCCAGAAAACACTGCAACATTAGGGAGTTATGTTCTATTGCTGAGAGAGATGGAAGTACTCTCATTTCTCTTCTGCAAAGTAAAGAAATGGAAGATTAAAGGTGTTCAGTGACCTGAAGCTCTGAAAAGGTTGCAAACATTTAAGAAGTTACTGTCAACAGATATTGATTCTGCCCCTGTATCAAAGGTGCTCTTCTGAGCAGTGATGCCTGGGGAGTGGCAGTACCTCAGCTACACTGGTTCATGGTTCAGCATGTTTTAGCATGTTTTATCTTCACTGGAGCTGTAAGATAAGACACCTGCCCCCGCACAAGAGAGGAGGGAAGGTGCCAACACGCACCTATTCGGCTTGTGGGTTCAGTTCCTAAAATTACTGCAGCAAAGTCCAACAGGGATCTTCCTCAGATTTCAAAGAGGACACTGGCTGCGTGGCTGCAGAGGGGTCCAGTGGGGAAATACTTAAGATAGTGACAGAACACGGGTTCCAAAAGTGGAACAGTGTAACTCTGCCTGTGGGACATGTAGTCACGGAGCTCTGTGGCCTGGGATCCGACTGCTGTCTTTGAAGAGCATTTTATTGCACCACATGGACCTGCCAGCTGCAACCAACCTCCCTCCATTGCAGGCAAAGGTGTGTCCTGGCTGTGTTTTGTCAGATTTAGGGATGATATCCTCAGTCCCAGCTCCTTGGCACAGCTCCTGCATTGAAGTTGATTCAGTTAATTGCTGGTAGCTAATGAGATGTGGTTTAAGCATTGTCTTATTCACTAGCAGGAAGGGGAAGAGCAGCAATTAACATGCTAAAATAAACAAGTGAAAACCAGGGAACTAAAAGGAATTGGGAAAGATGTTAAAAATGTGTTGGCTGTTGTCTCCTGGATCAGGAGCCAGCCCTTGGAAAGCCAGGAAAGCCTATAAAATAAGTAATGCAGAAGCTCAAGGAAGTAAATGAAACCAGACCAAACAAACTAGGTTAGGCAGGGGCTAGATTTTAGGTGGACTCTAATGAGAAGAGTGTCAGCTTTCTGAGCTGTGCTGTCAGCAAGTTTTCTGGTGCTTAGTTTTTAATAAGATCCTGAAGTGTACATCTGTTGTGCTGTCTGGAGGATTTTTCCTTCTTAGGTGGGGCGAAAAAAATGCTGCAAGCTGCAAAATGATAGAAGCACTTTCTTAGCTAGTTTGCCAAAATCAAAGGATGTGGGTATTCTGAGAGCAGAAAAAAAGCTTTCCAAAAAAAAAAAAAAAAGTGAAGCCCAGCTGATGGGGAGAAGATTTTATATTCCTGATTTTTTTCCTTTCCACTGCATGCTTTGTGAATGTGGGAGAGAATTTGAAGCAAACTGGTCACAAGTTCTCCTTGCCCTCGGTTGTGTTCAGGTTTATCAATGCTAGAAGGCGAATTCTTCAGCCAATGCTGGATTCCAGTTGCTCCGAAACTCCCAAAACGAAGAAGAAAACAGCTCAGAACAGGCCAGTGCAGAGGTTCTGGCCTGACTCCATTGCCTCAGGAGTTGCTCAGCAGCAATCCAACGAGCTCACGATGTCCGACGGTAAGGAGAGACCATGGATAGTTAATTCCTTTGTAACAGGGAATTGAAGGGATTGATGCCTTTGGGGGGATGGGGAACTTCTTCATGTTTCAGCATAAATGTGGTTTTAATCCGGGAAAACATAACGGAAACGTGTCAATTTTTTTCTCTTTAATTGCCTGTGTTTTTGGAGGAGCATTTTATTGGATTTTGTGTCGAGAGACTGTTGCTTTTGTTCTGCCGTTTCACAACTTTTGAAACAAAAGCAAGATGTACAGCTCTGATGTACAACTGAGTTCTCTCAGGGCGTGTGTGCACGTCAGGAGTGTTCTCTTTGATGAGCACTCTGGGGCTGCAGCTTCAGTTTCGTTGCTGAGCGTCTGCAATTCTACATCCGCCTCACGTGTTTCAAGGTGAACAGTGAGAGGCAGAGGGACTTTGACTGAAGTAACTTCCTCAGCATCAGATCAAACAAGAAGACCTAATTTAAGGAAGATAAATATCTGCTTTAATCTCAGGATCATCCTTTTTGTCCTGCTGCCTGATGATTTGTTCCTTTCCAGTTTGTAGCAGACTCTTCCCTCAGCCTGTGCTGGACCTGACAACAGCTTTGTCCGTTTAAAACTCCCCTTGAATCTCTATGAACACTCCCATTTTTCTGCAATGAATTAAGCTGGAATACTTTGCAGAAATGGCCTTGTTGACTTGATTGGAGAATTGCTGTAGTGGGTGTCTATAACACAGCTAAGTTTAAGATTCCTGACCAACCTAATCCTGGCATTTCCTGACATTTGAGTGTTTGACGACCTATATGGCTTTTATTTTAATCTAGTTTCTTAGGTTTTCTTCCTGTTGATTGGGAAAAAACCCTGTCATAAATAATAAATATGTATTACTTAAAATTGGAAAGCAGGAAAGATGCTAAATTACTGTGATTGTGCTTCTGCAGGTGCTGTTGTCACCATTACAGCTCCAGTCAACATGAATGTAGACAGTCTCCAGTCTTTGTCATCTGATGGTGCTACTTTGGCTGTCCAGCAAGTCATGATGGCAGGGCAGAGCGAGGATGAGTCTGTGGACAGCGGGGAAGATGATGGAGGAGACCTTTCAACAACAAACATCAGCGGGCTGGTCTTGGATAACAGCGATTCTCTGCAGTAGGAAGCAAGAGAGTGTGACAAAACACTTAGGAAAAAAAAAAGAATGGACTGACTGACTGACTTTTTATAGTTTGCACAGCAAACATTTTACACAAGTTTTATTTCTAATATGTTTTATATGTAGATATAGAAGGGTGCACTTTTTTGTATTTCATAGTAAGCTTAAAGAGTGTTTTTGCAGGTGCAGCAACTTCTTTCAAATGTGGGTTTTTTTCGTTTCTTTTTCCTTTTTCTTATTTCAGAAAATTATATCTAGTAATATAATAAGAACCACGTAAGCACCCCTTTGTCCTATGAATTGGAAGTGCTGCAGTTTCTAATGAATTATGCAGTTTCAATTAGTGCTGTTATTTAACACAGCTTTGGATGGGCAGGTGATGTAAATTTAAAGCATGTGACACTAGTGTGTGAATCTTAATTATTAAGTTAGATGCGTATATTTGAAAGATGCTTCTGCACCTTAAAAACTGCTAGTCTGAGGTGGACAGCAACACACATAAAAAGGAACTGTTGATGTGTGATTCAGTAGCGAATGTATGGCAATTTAAATAAGTTTAGTTTCTCTCATAGTCCGTGAGCCTGTTTATCATTTGCTATGAAAACTCCTATTTTTACCTTGCTGGGGTTATTGGATAAAAAAAAAATATTTTTATAAATTCATTAGAAATTGGGATGACCACTGTATTAAGCAGGAGGAGAAAAAAAAATTTCCAGAGGGGAAAAAATAAATGTTTAGTATTCCTATTTGGAAGGTCTGAAAACTGACCTGATTTAATAAACAAGCCTACAGTAGCATTCTATGATTCTCAGCTATCCCACAGTGATATACTATATTTGATAGCAGCATAAGAAGGGCCCACTCTTTGATGGGATTTTGATATTGTCAAACATTGATTTATATTATGTGTAAACTAATATTCAAATTACATAACTCTGTATCTAGACTTGTATCTGAAAATATTTGCTAAATGACTATTCAGGTAAGTAAATTCAAATACCCACAACTTTTCCAGTTACTAGATGAATTTAACAGTTTATAGTTTGTACAACTGAATCTGAAAAAATGAAAAGTTGCCTACTATACAGTCATGAATTCTGCTATTTTATTGCATTTGAAATATTTTCCCCTAATACGAAAAGAAATATAACTTATGGATTTATATAAAAATTTCTTCAAATCTGAAGTTTACTACCAGAATATACAGCAGGCTTTATTAGAGTAGAAAATCCTTGTGTGTCATTTAAAAACGAAGAGCTGTTGTGAAAACAGCTGTTTTTTTGGTTTTGGGGTTTTTTTTTGTGGTAACAGTTCATTTGTTTTCCCAAAGTTTGAAGTCTGTGTCTGTCTATCCACGAACTTTTGGAACTTCTGTATTTCCCTTTGTCAAGTACAAATAACAGACTCTGGGAGCTTCATGGTATGATCAACATCCTCTTTTTAATCCCTGCCTGTTTGTCACAGTGATGGGTTAGATCAGAACTTCCTTCTGGTTTAGACCAAATCTGGTTGTGTTTCTGATGCGACAGGGGGAAAAAAAGATGTGTAGCTTTTAGACATTGTATTTGAACAAAGCCCTTGGACAGATGCAAATATTTATGGAACACTTAATTTGTGCTTCACAGGACGCTCAGGCACGTGCTTGGGTCCTGTTGATCTCAGTAGGATTCACACATGTGCTCTTGGACATGCTTAAATGGTTGGAAGGTGGTCATTGCAGATTCCAAAGCAGGTGTGAGTTGGTGTGAAGAAAAACTTGTGGAAGAAATGTCAGTAGCACTGCCATATGCACATGGAAAATAATACAAGTTTTCAGTGACTAGTATCTATTTTAAAAATAGTTGGTGTTGGTTTTACTCCACACGAGTGATGTTTCTGCTGTGGCACTCACCTATTCCTGGCTGAGGATCTTCCTTAGTTCAAATGCTGTAATCATCTGCTCCACTGGAGTGGTAATTCCTAAAGAACATGTTTTCTTCTTCTCTGCTTTGCCACTGATGTGCCATGTTTGTTAAACAGCACAGTAAATGAATAATGAAAGGTTTAATTAGGAAGGTGTTGACATAGCATAACTGTCTCAAAGGCTGTTGTCAAATGCAGTTTGACCCCAAAATATTTTAAAGGACAGAAACCATGTATGAATCCTGCTCCTTTGGAAACATTCAACCTACTACCCCTACAAAAGATAACTGAGATTACTGGAACAGAGAGACAGATTCTGTGTTTTTAATTGTTTGTGATTTGACTCCAAAAGTGCTTCATCACCCCCACAGTTTCCGTTATACAACAGGTCATGTTTGTTGGTTAGTTTGGGGTTTTTATTCAGCCACCCTTGTTCATGTTTAATAGACCTTTAATCCTTGTACTTGTAGCACGTAGGCAGAGGAAGGAATAATCTGCTTTTTAGTGAGTACAGGCCTGTGGACAAACACCTGCTTTTCCAAATCAGGCTGTGCTGGAGCACCAGGCTGTTTTTCACCATCTCCTTGCCTTCCCTGACCAGCTGTTGGTGCCTCAGGCTTTCCCCATCCTGCTTCCAGGTGGGCTTGGAGCAGCTCATCCAGCTGATCCCAGGGGTAGCAAACAGCCAGCAGTGAAGGGAAGGGTAAACCAAAGTGGGCAAAACTTCCATGCTTTGGAGATAACGTGGCAATGGGCATTTGCCCACACCTCAAAACTATGAGGACTGAGATCCTAAAAAGAGAGAAGGCATTAAAGCAATTTAATATCTATACAGCCAACTGGAAGAGGCTTCAGGAATATATTGTTATGTGCCACTTGGAACTCAATTGGAAACAACCAAGCCTCAGGGTTTGCAAACTTCTGAAAGTGTATTTTTCAGAAAGAAGCCATTATCTAGTTAGATTTTTTTTTTAATCCTTTTTTTATTCCCTCCACCCTCCATGCAGCAGAAGTTTTATTCTTCTGAAAAATTTGCAACCTTGTCTTCAGCTACTTTATCAGTACCCAGAGACTGAACTGTACAGAGTTTACTGTGAAAGGGGAATATGGAATAGTTTCACTGTAAGATTAGAAACATGAAAACATAGGGATGTGAATTCCTAAAACTGGAAAGGCTTTACCAGTATAATCAAAGGTATTGCTTAACATATGAAACTCAAACCTTTTCTTTTAATTCAGTGAGAATTCTGTAGCAGGTGTGAACTGCACAGGAGTGCTTGCTCTTCTCTTGGTTTTAAAAAAGAAAAAGTAGTGTCCTTCATTTTTCCTGTGTAAGAAAACTTTGCTTTCAGCAAAGTTTCACCATTCAGGAAAGGTACATGTTTACATTAGTTAAAAAGTCTTTATAGGGGACATAAATTTAAACCCATATGTAATTGCCCCCCTGTCCCCAGGTAAAGTCATATTCATATGCAAGAGAACTAATTTTTTTTTAAAACCAATGTGATTCTTCTGCAGTTATGATTATTGAAACTTAGGATTTTTATTTTTCTAACCCAAAACAGAGTTCTCAGTCCAATTTTTTCAAGATTCCTGTGACAGGCAAGGCAATTTCCTGTTGCTTTTTAACTTTGGAAGCATTGCAGTTTAGTAAACCAATTCCAAAACGATCAGGATATATTTCTAAATGACTGTTACCAAGAAATAATCGTGTTAGAAAATATTTAGAATCACCTCTGGCTCTGCAGTGGGTTTTTTCTATGTCTGGATATTGTGTCAAAGTGGAGTCCTGCTGACCTCAGGGAAACTCCATAAGGCTCCATATCAGGCTGCATTTATCTGCCAGAGAATTGGTTCCTTGTTCTGGTACCTGATCTCTGTTAGGAACTTTTTGGAGAGCCCTCCAGCTTTATTTTGCCTGCATACCTGGGTGTTCTTCCAGTGGAAACCAGGGTATGGATGAAGGGCTTGGAAGGGCAGGAACTCATGTTGGCCTGGTGTGTACCACGTCATTGTTTTGGTATTCAAAATACAGCCAAGAAGCCAGAGCCACAATGAGGAACTGAAGTTCCCAGTTCCTGTGCTTCCAGAGTAGCTTCAGGTTTATGGATATTCTAGTGGAATGAAGCCACAAAGACTTAATGCATGAATAACATGTGGATTTGGTTGTGGAAGAATTAGAGGTTCATCTTCCTGACTTTATGAACTTGACAGCCCACAGGATGAAACGAAGCCTTTCCAAGGGCTGATATTTGCACTTGAACAAACAAAAATCCAGAACACCCTGGTATTTTGAAAAATTGGAACACATGCATTTAATTGTAATTAAAGATGATTTAACATTTATTTTCTGAAGCTGAGTCGTCTTGGGAGGAAAAACAATTAATAAGTATTGGTCTATGCAAGACACAAATGTCAAAACTGTGTAAATTACCCATTTTTAGGTGCTGTATTATTGTTGTCTTTCTGACTTCTGTTACTTTTATTAGTCTTTTCAACCTTTCAGCCTTACATTCAGCTTAGAGTTGAATAGGCAAAGTGTAGTTTTGAAATCCTGTTGGAAATGTAACTACCCTTCATTCCCTCATGGAAATCTCGCATGTTAAACAGTTAAGTGAAATGTTTTTGGTTTCCTAATAATAAATTCAGACTCTCACCACCTCCTGAAAACAGCATATCCATGAACATGCACGTTTAACTGTGGTGTGCAAACGATCAAATCATCAGCCTTGTGCTGGGGGCACTCTGTTCTTCACTCTTCAGTGCAGCTGAAGAGTAAAGCAGGTTCATTTTGCCAAGCTCAGTGTGGATTCCTTTCCCCCTACCCCCTGCCTTGGGCATGCTAAACACCTTCAAATAGGTTTTGGGTTGTTTAATTTTTCAAGGCCTAAAGTAACCTGATCATCCAGTGTGTAAAGCACGGTGAGATTGTCACTAAGGTGCTTTTAAGGGATTGCCCCAATCAGGTTATCTGTTCGTTCTTGTCACCTGGAAATATCAAATCTGCTCCTTTTCTGTGACTTCAGTTCTTTAGGACCTGCTGAGTGATCACAGCTGGTTTTGCCAGAGAAAAGCAAGGTGTGAGAAGGCAGTGAAATGCCTTTCCAACCTTGTGGGCTCCTGTAAAGAGACACAGTTCAAGTTAATAGAATCCAGTGTTTTCAGGTCGTGACAGAAGTGGCCCATAAATCTCTCTGTGGGTTGGCAGCACTGGGTCTGCACAATCGACAATCTTTAAAATGTGAACCCTGTAACTTTTCTGTCCTTGGTTGTTAAGGGATTTTTGAAGCAGCTGATCTATCAAGGGATAAAATTAAAAATGAGAATATGCCTCTTGTATAATTTATTTTTACACTGCTGTTCTCTGTGAACAGAAAAAGCACATTTTTAAAGCAAAGCATTTACATGACTTTAACAGTGTTGTTTGGCTGAAAGACAAATATGTTTTCAAGAAACCTTGAGCGTAGTTTTAAACTGTTTAACCAGTTCCTGGCCAGGGAAAGTCATTGGCCTTTGTATTTGTTTGGGGTTTCTTGTTTATGCAAATGAAGAAAAATGTTTACTAGTTCTTACCAGTATGGGGATTTTTATTATGCTTTTGTAATGCAGGAGCAGCTTCGATGAAAGACAGAATTAGCAGGTAAACAGTCCATAATGTGTGTGACTTTGGGTGGGGTTTTTTTCCTTTGTTGTTGTTTCAAAATTATCAATTAAAATGGCATGGACATCAAACTTCCAGTAATGGTTCCAAGCATAAATGGTAGTGACTTATTTGAAAAGAGTTCCTCTCTGCCAGTCCCATGTGTTAAATTGTTCAGACAGATTGTAGTGCATTTCTGAAACTGCCATGTTCTACTAAATCAGAAATCTTCAGGAAAGGAGCAGCCTCTTTGTTACAAGGCAGTGATTCTTCTCCAGCGAGAACCTCAGACTCATTTCATCCAGCGTGTGAATCTTGCTCGGCAAAGATGAAGTCAAACGTGCCTGATCTGAAGAGAAGATTTATTCTGCCTGGCACTGGAGGATTATTCATTCCTACTCTCTCTTCCCTGGCATCTGGCTTGGTGAGATCCATGTGTGCCCCCCGAAGGGAACAGCCCAGAGCCTGGCACACCTGGAGAAAGGGGCTGTGTGTGACTGCCCTGGCCACAGCTGGTACAGCCTCCAGGTGCCCTGCCTTGCTTAGCAATCTGTTTGACAGATTTCCCTTTACCCTGAGGAATGTGCAGTTCTAAGCATAATTGACCATTTTCTTACCAAAAAAAAAAAAAAGAAAAAAAAAAGATCTTTTTATAGCTGTTTTCTTACTCCAGAACATATTTCCCCAAGAATTTTTGATAGTTTTTGTTTTTAAAGGGTTAATCTGTGAATAGCTGAGTAGTGCGTGTTCTAGACACAGGAATATTTGATCATTTTTTTGACCTTAGAAGTGTGTCTGAGAGTAGTGCCAATAACTCCTGCTGATATCACTGGAAATAATTTTAACTCCACTGGTGCCAGGTAGCAATTTTTTTCCTTAATCTGAAATGAATAAACAACCAACCTAACAAAGCAACCAACAAAAAAAAAACCAAACCAAAACAAAAAAAACCCCACACCTCCAAAGGACAAGTGGGAATGGCTTCAAACTGAAAGAGAGGAGGTTTAGATTAGATATTATGGGGAAATTTTTTACTGTGAGGGTGGTGAGGCCCTGGCACTGTTTGCCCAGAGAAGCTGTGGCTGCCCCATCCCTGGAAGTGTCCAAGGCCAGGTTGGATGGGGCTTGGAGCAACCTGGTCTAGTGGAAGGTGTTGGAAAGGATGATCTTCCAACCCAAACCATTCTGTGATTCTATGTTTATATCACCTAAATTATGCCCCATACAGTGTATTTTTAGTTGGCTTCAAATTCCCCTGAAAGATGAATCCCCTCTTCAATAAGCCATTAAAGGAATCAGAAGCCTTAGCTCTAAGGAGCTGGTGAGCTGGTTTGCTGTTTCTAAATAAGCCCCTTTGTAAAAACCAGAGCAATATCCTCAAGTCTAAAACAAGGGAAAAAAAACACACGCAGCATAAAATGGGGATTCTTCAAAAAAAAGCAACAACAATAAGGCTGGGACACATATTAGGTACTGTGTTATTTGTTTAAAATCCATATATAAATCCATGCAAGTTCAGAGTGTGTGAGGTATGTGGGTTTAAGTCTGGGATGTACTTAAAACACAAAATGACAAGTCACGATTTAGATACTCTCCTAAAACCTGAAAGCAATGTGACCTTTGTAAGTCAGGTTTGGTTTGTCTTCCTGATGCAACTAAGGTGTGATCCAGGGCTTATGAAGTAATCAGGGAAAATCTGTGGATATTTACCTTCTCTTGGTCCTTGGACTTTGGTGTCACTACTAGCACAAGTCAGGAGCTGAGGCCCTTGGACCTGCTCCTGACCATCATTCCTGGCACACGTTTTGTTAAGTTGATCCCTGAATCCTAACTATAAGCTGATGCATATACTAAATGTGAATGTGGTAATAAAAATTAATTTAGATAATTCTTTGTTAAGATCCAAGAATTCTTTAATTTAGATTTTTTTTTTTTTTTTTTAAAGTCATGAAAAAGCATGCAGATAATGCCTAAGGAACTAGTGATTGACTTGCATGTCACTTTTGCTCTGAATGTGTGTGTCCTCTTTCCCCTGCAACCTTTCACTGTGAGCTGCAAACCATGGACACGTTCCTGAATTTCTTAACATTCATCAAAATTATGTTGCCTCACATTTCTGAGCAGCTCAGTTTATAACCTTGTTTGGTCTTTTAGATTTAAACCACTTGCTTTCAGCACGGGCTGGCACACAGAAAAGACAAGGGCACTTATTTATATGTGCAATTACAAGTAATTACAAATTCAATTACTGTGCAGCTACTGATTTCTCTAAGATACATAGGAGTATATATGGTTCCATGGGCAAGATCCATATTAAGGCCAGGAAGGAGAGAGAATATTTCTTTTGCTGGTGTCTCACTGTATTTTTATATTGGAACCAGAGGGTTATTTTTTCTTTTTAATACACAAAGGGTTTTTTTTTTTTGCACAGCTGATTCTGATTAAGTTTCTTAACTCAGTGCTGTAGCTGGACCGAGATCTGAAAGCTCTTGACAATTTTAAGAAGCATCATCAAATGAAACTCAGAATTGCAAAATTCCAGAGATTTTAGGAACTGAGTTGGCGTTTTAGGTAATACCTGTGCTGCCTTCTTAGCTTTTCAGATGCTGGGGGAGAACAATGTTCCTGACTCACATGTACACACAGGGACACTTCCAGCAACTTCAGAAATAATAATTTTCCTCTAAGATCCCCCATTCTGCTTTCAATCAACTGGGTTTGTATTCCTGTCCTTTTTCCTTTATTTTTTTTTCCTCCCACCTTCATTTCTTTGGAAGCTGGCAACAATTAATCCTTGATTACATACCCTGGACTTTTTCTGTGTCTCTTGGGCCTCTGAACTGTGAATAGCCATGAATAATGACTCTGCAGGTCGTTCCAGGATTCAAAGCCAGGTGCTGGAAAAAGCCCAACAGCCTTCCACAAATGAGGTTTGGATGCTGCTATGGATGCAATATCAGAATGATAACTAAAAAAAGAGATGTCCTTAATGCAGATACACAACTGAGATACACACTGAAGCTAAACCATGGAGTAGAATCACAGAATCATTAAGGTTGGAAAAGATTTCCAAGATAAAGTCCAGCCTTTGACCAAACTCCACCTTGTCAACTAAACCATGGCACTGAGTGCCATGTCCAGTCATTTCTTGAACACCTCCAGGGATGGAGACTCCACCACCTCCCTGGGCAGCCCCTTCCAATGCTTGACAACCCTTTCCATGAAGAAATTCTTCCTGATGTCCAACCTGAACCTCCCCTGCTGCACCCTTTCCACTTGTCCTGTAGAAATCACTTTGACCCTAAAGCAATATGTATGCCATTTTCCCACGTGAATGTGTGTCACTTTTTTCATGTACAGGCTTTTTTATAATGTTTTTATTTGCTCCAGTAAAAGGTTTTAGTCATAGAAATGGGTATTTTAGTACTCTGCACCACGAAATATGCACGTCTTAGGGAAACGTGCATAACCCCTCTCTATTAAATCATGCAAATCCTCAATTTAAAGAAATTTACTGATCAGAAAAACACATTTCCATTTTAAATTTCAGAAGCAAAATGTACACTACATCAAATGTGCATATGTTGAGTTTGCCCTGAAACTCCTGACTATTAAATCCCTCTTCTTTCGCAGCCCCTTGCTTGCTGTCCTGCAGTTTTGACTAAGATAACCCAAGTGTCATCTCTGCTGTTCCCCGAGGACATCTGTTTTAAATGCCAAATCCGCTCTCTTGGTCTCCCCTGCCCACCCACACAGAGGAAGGAAAGGCTGTGAGTTGTAACAGAGAGAGAGAACAGCTGACAATCAGCGCTCAATACCCTGCAACAGCGTTTGCCGTTGCTTCAGAAATACCTCCCCTGTGCCAGAGGGGTCTGGGAAGAAGTCCCATTTTCTGAAAATCCACTTCAGCTCAGAGTCCTAGTGTGGGTCAGCTTTTACTTTGTAATATTTTTCTGTGTGTGTTAAAACCCAATCACACACTTGTGTGTGCGAGTTTAGTTCCCATCCTTGTACCATTTGCTGGTTTGTACATGGCATCATTGTTGTGTCAGGGTACCTGTATATGCTTAAAGTTTTCTATAAGGAACACATTCAAAAGACAGTGTCAAATGTTACCTCTCTCCCTGCCCCTCAATTTTAAATATAAACTATTTCTAGGAGGATGCAGTTGGTCCATTACCAACACTGAGTGGGTACAGTTTAGTTAAATCAGGGGATTCTCCAGGAAACCTCTGTCTCATTGTTCTCATCCTGATCAGAAATCACAAGTGCAGAACCTGCCATGGATCAGGATTTCTGATAATTTAAGAGCACAGTACCTAGAAAAAATGACAGGGAGCCATCCCCCCAACACCTGGGCTTTGCAAATGCAGGCTGGGGTTGCTGAAGCTGTTTGGTGAACCTCACAGGGGGAATTCACTCCTGGCAGGTTGTCAGGAAAGGTAGAAGGACTTGGGCAAATACTTCAACTTCTTGGCACTGGGTGTAGTTGTGCCCAAAGGATGGGCTTTTTTCATTCATGAGTATTTAACCCTAATATTGTACAGCCTCATGAGGCAGGAACTGAGAGGGCATGTTAAAAAAGGACAGATGGACAAAATGTGGTTCTGTTTAAATCAATGATTCTATGATTAACACAATGAAGAAAGGCCCTGTTGATTCCACAACTAACTAAGAATCAGTAATGATCTTTGACAAAGTTATGGGACACTGAAGAACACAAACAACCCCCCCAAATGTGATTGCACTACATGTAAAATGAGCTCTTTTTAGGAGCTGCAAATTTCAGCTGTTGCCTCAATTTTCAGGGCTAGTTTAGGGGTCCACAGGGGTTTGCATCACAGCCAGGCATGTGCTTCCAGGTAGGATGTAGATGTTTCTCAGGAGCAAAGCAACATACGAAGTGACAGTGACCACGTGAATGAGTATCCACGAAACCACACCCTTGTCCAGGCCATGGGGAAAATCTGACCTGGGAAAATATAAATAATTCCAGCAACACTGTGTCCAAATTGTATACAAGCACACGAGTGATCAGTGTCAGAGAATCCAGGACAACACCCATGCAAGTAAAGCATGCTGAAAACCCAAGACATTA